TAATTTTCCCCATGATAATTATCTTCATTTTATATTGCTGTAATAATATATTCAATTGTCTTCTTTATTTCATAATATCGCTTCAATACCCAATTTCTTTTATTATTATATATTTCTATAATTCAATTTATTCTTAAGAAGAGTCGCAATAAGTCGTTGGATGAATTCAATCGTGCCGATATTCAAACATCACGGATTGACGCAAACTAACGGCAGATTACCGAGTTATTTGTGCCCTCGCAAGCGAAAGACGGTTAATTACTTTTTACAAGCTCCCAAAGATATAAAACTTTTTTATAAATTCCCGCGAATAACAAACTGCTAAGTTAACGACTATTAAGCAAAGTGGCAGTTATACGCATCCGCGATAAAACGTCGAAATCCAAGGAAACCCTCGCAAGGAAGCAAGAAGGAGTGGTGTAAGGTGCACATCCGCATTAATTGCACAGCCTCGGCGACAGCGAGCGGCTTCCTTTGACGACGACAGTGATCAGGACAATCCTGAAGAAGCTCCGATAAACCGCATTAATCGCGCGCGCCGCTTCAAGAGATCTTTTTCCAAAGTACAATACATCGAAGAAACGAACTTAGACGCAAACTCATGTGCACGTACAACGCAATCTTTCTCCTATTTATTTCTTTTATTACTTATTTAAATAAAATTGTTTCACGAAAACAAAGCTTCCTCTACGAGGAAGCAAAAATGTATGACGTTTCTTTTTATTTTTTACTAAGTGCTATAATAAATAAGTGAAAAATTTCGATTTTTCAGTATTATTCTAATTTATATCGCGACGATAAATGTATTATCTCCAAATATTTCTTTTCTCATGAATATCCTATGAAAAGATTAAGATGTCTGCGAAAGATTAAGCGCAAGCGCTGGAAAGCAACGAACTTATTAAGTATCTCGATCCGGATGAGCAATTTGAAAAGCCTGAGAGAAAGACGAAGGGGGGCGAGAAAAGGGGAAAGGGCCAAAGATCATTCATGCGGCCTAGACGATTCTCGATAGGACTTAGAATGATCCTATAACGATGAATGAAAGATAATATGGATTTCCACGGGAGGAGGATAGGATAGCGGGATGGTTGGACGGCAGTCTGACGAGTGAAATCAATGAGCTAACAGGCTTGCTTCGAGTTAGACAGTTAGCTAATTAAGTCGGTATTATTGGATCATGGAAGCCAAGTATCGCATCCCTCGCACACTGATGGCCGTCACCCCCCTGCGAATGCGACGTAGTATACACTCGTAATATACACAGTCGCGGCTAGCACTTGCAAGGGTGAACGCCGCGGGGCCTGCACGACCTGCTAGACGCGTTTTAATTAGAGGTGAATTCCGTCGCGCGGGACAACTTGAGAGAGAGCGGCGTCCCTTACGTAAGTAAGTATAATTTTCGCGCACCCTCTTCTCGTCGTCACCACGCCTACCGTATCGCGGATGTGAGGGCCGTGAAGGAAAGTCACGTATACGCGAGAAATAATGAAGTCGAGGAGTGGCAACGGGTGCGACGGCGAAGAGTAACGCGCGGATAGTGTAATTCGGTAATTTTGTTGGGAAACTGATTAAATGTGTCACGATTGAGCTCAGTTAGACTATTTGCAACACGTGCAGGTAATCATTTTTATTCTTCCTATTTGATAGAAAACAAATTCCATACTAATCGCAGTAACGAGAGCTTGATAAAAGAGAAGCGTCTAGCTGGAACTTAATCTGCAGCGTATTGTCTCTTATCACTTCAATTCACAGATTTTTCAAAGATTGTCTCTCTATAATACAAAATCTAAGACAAAATCAATAAAGCAAATATGTTACTCACATTCAACATATGTAACGTAGTTTATAGTCTCTAATTTTTCAAGTACAGAAAAAATATAAAGAAGGTATTTAAATAAATAACCAGTAAACCAAAAAGTATAACGTCGTTTTAAATGCGTTCTACAGCTAGTCTTCTCGAAGCAAATTTACCATATTTTATTATGGAATTTGTAAAATATATTGTATATTACGAGAAAAAAATTGTTCATATACGACTCTCGCGTGGCGACACGCGAAAGTTTAGGTATCTCTCATTTATAGATATTTCAAAACAGGTGTTGTTTCAAGGCGAAGCAACACAAAAATCGTGCGTCTGTCCTATTGACATTTTTGGCATCAACATTATTAAAAAAGACTAGAAATGACAAAACGCGCGCTTCGCGCGCACAGTTTCTAGTTCAGTATGTATATTTTTAAGAATTTGTACACATGTAAAATAGTAGGCGTAACGTCAATTTAAAGTAAAAAGTAATTTATCACTCACTGATACGAGTTGCAACAGCAGTTATACATCGTTAACTGTATATGTTCAACTGTAACAATACAAATATGTATATGATTATTATAGATTAACTATGTAAAATCAAAATTATTGTATTAAATAAACTTTATATTTTATATTTTTTAAAATAGGTATTTATTAAAATAATTATATAGAATATTGAAAAAGTCTTTCTTTTAAATATAAACTCGCAAAATTTTATATGTATAGTTTTGTCTCTAACACTTATTCGAATCCTCGTTCGAATCGTTTGAATAAATAAAATAAAAACACAGAACGGATGCTTTATTTTGCACAAGTACCAAATAACATGAAAACGTAAAACACTTACCTTACGATTTCTCCGCCGTTGCACGATGCCGCCTAGGCCAGCCTTCCTCTCAGATTTCCTTGTTGCACTCACACAAACACTCACTCGCGAAACTAATCAATCGCGCGAAATTTCGGGCACTCCCGTACGCGATGTGAAATACCGTGGAACACACCAAATATTATTAACAAATATCGCGTGACTTTCTACGATACAAATTACTCAATCTAACAGCTTGCATTTTTGATTCGGAAAAATAGGATAATGGATAAAAACACTTTTGAATTTGCGATATAAAACGCAACGCGAGCATCGAAAGCATAATCTGCGGTAAAGAAGTAGTTATTAGTCCGCAACGAAACGATATTTTACAATTTTTTCCATTCAATCTAATCCTCGAAATAAATTAAGTGAGCAAAGTTTCCAGCGATAAATAATTGTTATTAATTGCAACAGTTAATCGAGATAATTTTCGATTACATTTACATAATGTAACAATGTACGATAAGCGACTTTCTTTACTTTCTGCCCGTTTGAGTTGCAAAGAACGACAGAGCGAATTACAGCGCGAACGCCGAAGTAATACAAATTTCTCTCTTTTCCCGAAAATGGAACAGATTACACGAAATCAATAGATAATTAAGAGCGCGGTGCGTAAACGCGATGTAACCGCGACAAAGTACCGACAAAATACAACATACAGTTTTAGATGAGTTAGTTTCGTGAAACGTCTATGTATACGTTGATAAAGAGCCGTCGCCTCAACATGCAATTCGTTTCTCATTACAAGTTGTAAAAATTGAATAATTAATCGAGGAACGTTACTTGTTACTAATAAAGGTGTGCAAATCAATAGCGTTTTATCCCTGCATTCAGCGCGATTGAGTCTCGGAAACCGATAACGGAAAAGTAATACGACGCACGGACCGACTCTCGCTGCTGCCTGCCGGCTCGACGTTCGGCGAGCGAATGATAACGCAGCGACCTTCACGTACACGATGGCACGCAAAAACATCGTACGTCACCGCGCCGATAGAAAAACAACAACGAACGTTGAGAATTCGTTATTGTTTTTCTATCGACGCGGTGACGTGGCGCGCCTACGAAATTGTAAATACTGTACTGAATATTTTACATTAGTTTGTTCCGCAACTGTTACTACGTTTTGTGTATCATTCTGCGAACTTATTGGTGTTGATTAAATGAACGATTAATTCTGTTTAATGGAGAAAATATTTCGAAACAAAAATCGTTGTTACTTAAATTCTAATTACTAAGATTAGAGATTTTACCTCAATAGTTGATGCATACAAATGTATATTACTAAATCACAAATCTTCATTCACTATGAATCTAAAAGAGAAGTGAAGCACACCGCGCTTCGAGAAAACCAATCGGTAGCGCGGAAAAGAGGCTCGACTGTTCGATATTAACGACATTCGCGCTGATAACATCTCTTTTTTAGAAAGGGAATGAAGCAAAGAGAAAACTGAAGAAAGGCCGAGATAGAACCTCTTGCGACTCGCGCGAGCCCAAAAAATACACCGGGAGATTAAATGTTGCATGAGCTTCGGCGAAGAGACGACCGAGCGACCAGGTTCCCAGTATCAATTAGCCCGCTGACGGAAATAGCGTATACAGTCGCCACAATTTTTCGAGACGAGAACGCGAGAACCGCAACACCTCAGGCTTGGAATCTACGAGCAGGCTGACACTTTATCTGCCGAAAGCATCGATCGCTGGGCGTCTATAAAAGGAACAAGGCGCGAAGCAAGAAAGGACTGCGCAAGACGTCCCGCCTTCGAGATACACGCGTTTCTACGCCGCGAGTAGTTCGAAGCGCAACATGCGAGAAGACTTAACCCGGCGATTGCTTCTCGGCGAGTCTGTCTGCACCAAAAACGAAAGATAGAATCTAAACTACATAAGGGAAGTATTTTAGAAAAACGGAGGAAGAGAAACCTGGAAAATAAAACAGGGGGGCGCAAACTCGCGCGCTCCTTGAAGAATCGCTACGTCACTCGATCAGTGACGTCCAAGGTCCGCTATGAAAGTGGGCGAAAGCTCCCTGGGTGTCTCAGTCGCAATGATAATAATTGATCGTGAGAAAAATGGAAAGGGAATAAATGATTTACCGACGCTGCGCGGCAAGTGCGCGGCGGTTCTTGCACAAGCACGGGAAAGAAACGAGCGAGCTGCTTGTCAGCGGTGCACCAGCGGTGCTTTCCAGTGGGAGAAGTGCCGAAACCCTTTTCAACTGGTCCCGACTCCGGTCGGATCCAGACGACGCTCGTTTTCGGTCCCCTCTGTCCCCCTCCTCCCTTCTCTTTTTTCTTCTGCCACTACTCTACTACCGTTGCCGTTTCTTCCCAGGGGTTTCGCGGTGCTAACATTCCGCTGTGGCAGGCGACCGTCCTCCGGCCCGAGCAGATATCAACTTTCCCACAGCTGCTTTTTGGAGGGGCGAATGTACGATTTCGCAGAAACGCAGAAACGAGCGTCGGGGGAAGCCTATTGATCTCTATACCGTGCATGCGTCAATTGATGACGTGGGAAATGCAAATGGAGGTTGCAACAGATCAGCGGTTGCCTCGCGGCAATTACACCCTGCCGTTACCTCGCGTGTACCGATGTATACCAATCGATAGTTACCCAACACGGTTGTGCGATTAGATTCAATTTCTGGAATGCTACGGATTGGGTTTGGCCAATTGCCATCATCTTTGAAATGAAAAATATAATCAGCAGTATGGTAATATCTCAGCAATGGCGACGCTAGAAACTTACGGGGAGCCGAGAACAGCATTTATCTAATGACAGTAATAATAACGCTTCTCAAGAAGCAGCGATTATTCAAATCGGTTTTCCATGAAGCAACGTAAACAAGTGCGAATTTCTCAGAAAGGAGCCAAGTGAGAAGAGATCCGAGAGATTGTAGACTCATCCCTTGCAATGGTTCCTCATACATATCGCGCGAAACTTTCTCACAATGTGCGTTTCGTTGTCCCGCAGTTCTTCCTTCCTTTTAAAGAGCGCGGGCTCGAGTTCACCTTGCCTTGTTTAATACGCAGAAGAGGACGAGCCGAAGACAGCGAGGAAGAGCGGCGGGAAGACCGGTGACGGACCGAGTGACGCGGAAAACTTTTTTCTGAAATCACAGGATCCGTCCACGTCCACCTCCTCCTTCCCTTCTTCGCTGTCTCGCGGCGTGCAGTCGGGCATCAATAATTTAGCGCCCCACCGTATCAATAAACTTGCACCGGCAGCGGTGCAAGGCGAAAAGAAAGGCGACGCAGGACCCAGCCTCAGGACGAAGAGGGAAAGTGCAAAGACGAGAGGAGACAGAGGCAGGAAGATCCTGGAGGGCGCCGGGAGTAACAAAAGGAGTAGGAGAAGATGGAGGATGGAACTGTGAACGCGTTCTCCGGATTGAGTGGCTTTTCTTACGGCCGTTCACATATAGTCAGTGACGCGCCGTCCTCTCGCTCGAGTCGCTCTCCTTTCCTCCGACTCGATTACAAGCGGCAAGAAGCGGCATTACACGGGACACGCCGTGCCGACAAATCGACGGATTATGCCGGACGGGCGCCGACCTACCGGGAATAAATGAATTGGCTAACGACGTGACTCCTCTCTTTTCTCGCCCTGCATACTTGGCGGTTTCCTCGACGACTTGCGCATAGCTCGGGATTTACACGGGTTCGCGGAGATCCGAGGATACGTGTCAAGGAAACGGCAGATTACTTTTTTACAGGAACTCGAAGGTGTAACGCTTAATTCGCGATAATGAACGAAGCATGTAATTAAATTGACTGAAACGATAATCGCATCCTCGAAGATGTCCCATCACGAAACAATTAAGATTATACAGAAATTTTCTGAATCAAACGCGCGTTCTCTTTTATGTTAGAAAGTTAAAATTAAACCTTTAAGGAAAAAGAAGTAAAGGGCATTTCTCATTTGCAAAATTTTGATTGTGCGTTTTGCTGTGATAATCCGATTAGAAACGATACACTTTCGTGAAGCTTGTAACTGTATGAAGCTTATTGACTGCATCCTTAACCCTCGTTTCAAGAACAAGCGCCTTATTTGCGAGAACAAGTGGTTGCAAAATATCATAATTTATCCCATCTTATCGGTCTTAAATTGCAAATATTTATTGACACGACAATGATAAACTTAACGCGGAGATTCCTCAAAATTATTCCTTATCTCGCGAATTAAGAAACGTAACTTTTACTCCGGGAGAGATTGCAATGGACGCGTCTTAATTTGTTTGCGTAAAAAGAATTCGATTAAGTCTCAACGCGCAAGCTTTGTATAATTCGATTAAAACGTACGATCGATAAACAGACAGGGATGCGAGTCAGGTTCGCGGCCAACGACGCCTTTCCGAACCTTTCTTCGCCCCATCCTTCTTCGGCAACGCCCGCCGAAGCTTTCAGGAAGCAAGGTACTAATTAGCGATTACCACTCGTTCACGGGGCACTCGAGAGAGAATATAATTAGCACTCACCTTTGTGGTCCGAGGAAGGGGGCTGCTAAAATACCCGACCAACCCGATCTTGACGTCTCTTAAAATATTCCAAGAGCGTTCGAAGAGTCATCCTCGATCCTGCGACTTGATCACGAGAAGAAGATATCGATACTGATTTTTTATGATGTGAAGGAGCGTTTCTCTATCGTCGACATATCCACAAGCATCAGTTTGCTGAAAACAGAAAGCAACACATAAATTCATACGACACAATCCGTATTACAAAAACTATACGTTGGTCAAGCAACTGTTTATCCCGAAATTAATAATATTTTATTTACTTCAAAGGAATATTCATACTGACACAGTTTCAAAATTTTTAATTACTAATTGCAAACACTATCGCTAACAAAACACTTTTTCTCGCATATGTTTTAAGCATTGTTAATTATTTAGGATGATTTTTACAAGGCCTTTATAACTTTATTGGTTGTAGTAGATCAGAGTTTATCTCTTCTTTTATTTCGGTTTCTATTCCAGAATATTTCAGATGATCGACACTATCTAACCTGCATAATGAACGACTTCGGTTACGGAAAACAACGAGAAAGTAACGATTGGCACGATAACATCCGAGATGAACAGGGGAAAATGGAAAATCGGGGTAAGAAGCGGGACGCAGAATCTATGACTCTTAAACGATTAGATAGCATTCAGGATCCAGGAAAGAGATATGCCCTGAAGGATCGCATTGGTAGCGGTATATGCGGCGATGTTTACGAAGGGATTGATCAGCAGGCCGGTACGTAACAAAAGGATGCGTATTCACGTCCGACAACGTAAAACTATGAAAATATAAATCGCGAGATACAGAAGCACAGGAAAATATGTTGTCTCGCAACGGAGAAATTACACGCGGAGAATAAATATACGTCGATTATGTTTTAGGAAATAAAAGAGTTGCCGTTAAGATTCAAAAGCTCACGCCGGAAACACAGACCCTAATTGTGGAAGAGTATCGTATTCTTCGTGATTTCGCCGGTCATCCAAACCTGCCGGATTTCTACGGAATATATCGCAGACGATCAGCGAAGAAATCCGAGTGCGACGAAATATGGTTTGTCATGGAGGTAAGCTTTAAATAATAAAATTAAAAGATAATGTATAAAGATTAAAGTTTACGATTACGTAATATGGAAGTATAATTTATATGCTATAAAGTGATCGACATCCCAAATTAAAAGAAGGCACTAACCGACACTTGCGCAATATTCGCCTTTCTTAAACTTATTATTTGTATTTCATGTTTTATTAAAGTAAAAGTCACGCAAATTTAAGATAGAAGTAAAATGAACAATATTTTCGTATTCTTTAATTTTCTCAAAATCGATCACATTAGTACACAGATCTCTAATTTCACAATTCGCATATTTGTAAAACGCGATATAACAAAGACATATAATTCGATTGCTTGCACTAGTGCGTACCGAGAGCACACCAAGGCCTGTTTATAGTCAATTTTTATATTTCACTTTGTTTTAAACGCACGTTCAAAGAGCATTTAGCCAAAAATGATCCGTATTTTACTGGCTACGAAATATTTCAAGAAATATTTAATCTTAAATATAAAAATTGACCGTAAACAAGCCTGCGAACTCAGTGCGCACTAGTACAAGCAACCGAATTCACTAACAGACATCGCAATCGTGTTCATTACTATACCAAAGATCAAAATCGCAGCAAAGTTCCAATCAACACCGTGCCATATAATCGTAATGCATTTCTTTTAACGTTGTAATTGAACAAGAGGAAGAAAGAGGGAAAAGAGAAGGAGGACACGGAATAGAGAGATGCAGAACGAAAGATGAAGGCGGTTTGAGGAAGACAATGGAGAAGAAGGGGAGAAAGCGAGGGTAGCCGTGTATACCCGTGTTCAGAACCCGGAGGCAATTTCAAGCATTTGAGACCGTCGAATACACGGATAATTTACGACACACGCGTCCCCATTAAACAATCATTAAACTCGTTCGTGTACGCAGGTGAGGCTCGGCACGTCGCGGCTCTAATTTACGGACGGACCTCCGCGGTGTGCGCCCGAAACATTATTACTTATCTCGGATAATGCGACGATAGAGTTGACGTAATACGTGCACTCGAAAATCCGCCAAGCTCTCTCAGAAATCGGGATCTTTTCGGCCACGCCTTTGTCGTTTCGGAACGCGTCGATGAAGAAAAATTTTCATAAAGGAGATCGCTTCATTAACTTTCTAAAGTTACATGGTATAACGCGATGATATACTTTCTTTCACATTAATTCTGAAAGTTAGGCTGTCACAAAAAGATTTATGAGTACACACGGAAGAAAATATTCTCCATCAGCTTCGAGATCCTCTATTAATTAGATTTAAAAACGCACAATTACGTCCGTGTAATTTTAACAAATTAATAAAGTTCATAAGGTTCTCATGTGATAAACATAAATTCAAAGAAATAAGAACTAAAAAGAGCCGTGGCAGGATGTTAAACTTATTTTAAGAATTATTTGAACGTTTAACATCCTGTCGCGGCTCTTCAGTCCTTATTCCTTTGAATGTATAATCATGATTAAGTAACCTTTATCGTTTATATAATCTACCTTTATTGAGATATTTAAAGACTTTATTTGTTCGCGAGAGCTTCTTACGTTCAACCTCGACCACTCACACTCTCGATCGAATCCCTTTCCTTCACGTCTCGCACAGGATTCAAAGGCGACGCGTGAACACGCGAAAAACGACGAGATCCCCCTGAATCTCACGATTCACTTCGGCAAGCGAATTCGCGTGCGAGCCTCGGAGACGGGCTAAGTATCCGCAGCGAAGAAACGTAATGAGTCGTCGGTCGCTACGTTAAGCTCGCTGATTGCTCGTTGCCGGAGATTACAAGCAATAAAGGCGCAACGGGCCGCGGAGGCTGTTGTAGCGGTAGAAAGGAGACGCATCTCGTCGACGGTGCAGCGCGGACCGAATAGCAGTTTTGTAAGTCAATCGGCTTTAAGTCGGCTCAGACAGAAACGAGCGCCGAGATCTCCGAAGGGGAAAGGAGAGAGAGAGAGAGAGAAAGAGACATGCAACGACAATGTGGCAAGGATTTATCGCCGGTGGTATTTCATATCGAGCGAGTTTTATTGGTGCGAATGTAAGGCCTCGGTAAAGCCCTTCGCGACTCTACTGCGGGCAAAATCCGCTCTTCATCGTCGCGTATACACGAATAAGATGTTATTCGCAATTTAACTTTAACAAAACTAAACGCAAAACCGCGTCAAGACATCTGGGCTGAATGCGATGTTTTGTATAAATATAATCCTGTGAGAATGATCAATCTTTCAATTTAACGAAGGAAGCACGAGGCTGGGAAAAATCCGTATTAAATCTGTGAAAGAGAAGGGTTGAATCTATTACGATCCGTGATTCACATGAAATGGTCTTGGGTCTAATGTACGCGAAGCGTTGGATCGTTTGCTCATAATTACCGCACGTTTCGCGTAATTGTAGACATATGCGCGAAGTTTATTACACTTTTTGATTACAAGTTCTCCAGATGCTTAATTTCTGGGGAAATGGATTACGAGAATCTTCTTCTGTCTGAATCAATTTCCATAAAATGTAAAGTGTCAAATAAAGAATGATTCAGTAATTATCAGAGTGGAAGTTTTACGTAAATTTACGTAAAATATTACTGCAAGACAGAGAGGTGAGGATTTAGAAGAACCATCCTCACAGATACTTTATTCAAAGACTCGTGGAAAACGAGCATACACACGTCCTCGCGGAACTTAGTTCTAATCCCATTCAAATTACTTCCGCAATTAGATTGGCATTTCAATTAACGTACATCAATCTCGTGTTACGCCATTACGTCATGAGTGAAAAGAGTTAACAATTGTTACACAACGGTTATCGTATAAGCGATAAAGTCAGCCGTAACATTTAAACAAGTCTAAGAATTTGTATTCGATAAATAAGCGCAATTTTGCTGAGAGCTCTTTACATCTAGCTTAAATCTTTTAACGATTCAACGGCAACTTATTGACGCCAGTCGAGAAATTAAGAAATAAAATAAGTGTTGAAACGACCGTACTGGCACTTGGTTATTATTTTATAAATTCACAACGTTTCGACCAGTAATACTGGTCCTCTTCACGTAACAAACTTACATATGTACCCGCAAGTGTAAGATTCGTCAAAGTTAAAGATGTAAAAATTATGTCAAACACAGAATTCTAACGCCGACGACTAGACATGTTGTACAGAGAAGAGTCTCTGACGTTTGACAGAATTTTTACACCTTTAACTTTGACGAATCTTACATTTGCGGGTACTTAATGTAAGTTTGTTACCTGAAGAGGACCAGTGTTACTGGCCGAAACGTTGTGAATTTATAATATAATAAAGAAGTGCCAGTAAGGTCGTTTCCACATTTATTTTATTTCTTAAATCTTTTAACTCAAATGCATTATTACAATTAACTAACAACACGGCATTATATGTTATAGCTCTGCGAAGGTGGAACAGTCATGGATCTCGTTCGCGGAATAATTGCAAGTGACAAAAGAATACGAGAGGAACATATTGCCTTTATCTTAAGGGAAGTGATCAAGGTAAACATTTTGTTACGTAATATATGTACTGTGACCTACATATACTGGAGATATACACCATGTTGTTGAATCGTATCAATAGTTTCTTACAACGCGATTCTTCTTTTGTATTACATATTTATATTATTACTTTGCGATTTTTAAAAGACTCACTCATAAGCAGCGTAACTGAAACGACGATGTATAAGTTAAAGTAGATGACGATTATAAATATCCTTCAAGAAAACGTAATACAACAGGAATCAAATAAAACGAAGATAAATGCTGGAAAAGTCTTTGGTATATAAGAGGCACGTTTTGTGTAAAACTAAAAATAAACGCGCGAGGTTAATAATAAATCATTGATGCCACAACGTGAAAATATCTGATTGACCGAAAAACGGGCGAGCCCGAGTAAGGTAATTAGTTTTTGCTTGGGTACGAGAAGGTATAGTAGTTGAGAAAGGTGGCCGTCGCGGAATGTCCAGCAAAATTGTGCCGCAATCTACCCCTCACCATACCCCTCGCCACCCCTCGTCGTTCCGTTTCCTTCCTCCCTTTCTTGATACAGAGCCGTAATAAATATCACCTGCATGACAGAGCGCGCCAGTGAACCGGCAGAAATGATAATAGTAGGTGTATAGCCACGGCAATAGTCGCGTTATTACGATATAATTATGTTCGATGGTATATGTCCCGACGATGCTTTTATCTCGCGGCAGGTTATCCCTCTGATTACGGAAAACGCATTGGCGCCGAAGTATGTACGCGTTGTGCAATTACAAGACAGAAAAAGTGGGGTATTTCGCGACTTTACAAAAATACAACTTATAATTAGGATAACTATGCGATAAATGATTAAAATTCCAAGCAAGATATGTTACGGAACTATTCATAGAAATAAAAATTTGCACAATTGTACGCGAGTTATAGGATAATTATATAATTATACAAATTATGTATGAATATCGAATATCGTAAAATATGTGAACTTTTGACAAAATAATTTGATTCTATTGCTACATAAGTTTTCTTGACATAGATACACAGTATAAAGATATATTAAATTTTTTCAGAATTAAAAATGTATTGGATAAATATACAATCAATGCTATCGTCGTAAAATTTTCACCTGATATTCTTAATAACGTGCCAGAGCTTGACGAATTATTTCCAATTTTTCTATTTGCACGTGTAAAAGTTATTAATTATTGAATATCGTTATTTTAACTTATAGGATCTTTCGGGATCTTTTAAAAGACAAATAAGAAATCATTCAAAAATTATCAAAAATTAATTTCTTCAAACATGTGAAAATGTTTCTGCGAAGTTTCAAAACGTTTTACTCGTTTTACAATTATTATTAAAATACTATAATTTCGTGAATTTCTTACAATTATGTGTCGATTAGAATTCATGTTCTGTTCAATTTTAATTTTTTGATGTTCTGAATTAATTCAATAAATTAGTTCAATATTTTCATTAAAAATACTATAATAAATGCTACATATACATACATGTATATCTACGTATACGTGTGTATAAATAAACTAAGATTTAATTTAATAAAACTATAAAAGTATAATCTCATTTAAAGGAATAACAAGGCAATAACTTAATAAATTCACGTAATTCAGATCCAGTGTAAATATTTATCTCTTATTTTGATCATTATTAATATATATTAATGGTTAGCATCAGTTAGCCTCGTGATATACTTAAATAGTCGCGTTAATTAAAAATTATGTCATAAACCCTTGTTTATGACAATCATAAAACGTAACGCCATACCGTTAATTGTTTCAAGTTTCGAGAGAGATAAAAGCAAGGACTGATGTGGTGGATGACGAAACGAGCCAGAAACAGAATGGCGCGAATAAAGCACAAATTGAGACTTGAATAACATCCGAATAAAGAAATACAAAAGTAGAGGAGAGAGACAAAAATAAGAAGACAAGAAAGCAAAGGGGAAATGGGATACGAAGAGCTAAACACCCTTCCGTTTCATAAATTGCTATGATTTTGCTTAATAGTTAATGGTCACGGAAAACGGATTCGCTTATTTACAATGATACTACCTTCCATGATTCCGGTTTCTCCTAGGAGGTCGGATAATTGGTGGGGATATCGTGCTCATTTCTCAACGAACTTAAGAAGCCACATGTATATATGGACGGAAAAATAAAGACTAGAATCGAAAAAACCGAATGACCGATGCACGCCACAGGATGGAACTTAAGTGACCATTTCCGTTTCGATTCGTGTGTCACTGATTTTTCCTTGCTCATTACGTCTCTACATTTGACTATTTATTTCTTTATTTGCTTTCATTATTGTCATTTATGTGCGCGCAGAATAAAATTAATGACGGCTGTAATAAGAAAAGGGCCTGAAATAAGGTCGAAACGTTGTGTTAAATAAAGGAATTGGCCAGTTGGATTGACAATAAGCCAACTGTTTTTTTTTTTCGTCTCTTTTTCGTCTAACGAGAGAGAGATATTTCTCTCGAAATCCACGTCTCCCCCCCCCCCCTTCGCCCCACAAGTTCACCAAGGAAGCGCGGCGAAAGGGCACGGCGTGTAATGGGCCCAGCATTCTTTCTCTCGCGAGTGGCTCATGGCTCACGGCGATAATATTTACGATCCAAGCAGTTTGTCACTAAATCATTATGTGGGTCTACCTTTCGGGTATGCCCCGTGCACGCACAATCCGATGCCCTTCGCCACCAAGCCCAGCGCTCCCCGCCCTTTCTCCTCACCCCTCCGATTGCCCGCGCCGTTCCTTCTCCACCTTGGAAACTGCACACGCAACCCTTCCGTCTCCCTCTTTCTTTTTCCTCCTCCCGTTCTCCCCTATATGCCCTTTCCTCGCAGATACGTGTTCCATGGGCCCGGTAGCGATTCGTCCACGGTCACTCGTGCGGTAAATCAGACCACGCTGACGTTTAATGCCGGCAAATTACACGCGAAATAAATGCCCGCGAAGAGAAGTGCGCAGCAAGCGCAGTGCTCGAAACAGAAACGCAAAAAGAGCACGGGAAATGGATAAAGAACGGGAGACGAATGGAGACTACCAGTATGCTTCTTCTACACGATCGTTATACCCCGTTTAATCTTTATCCGCCAATTAACAATTCGTTCGTCCTTTGAAAGATCCCTCCTTACCCTTGTAACTATTTCTTATATACTGCCCGGTCGACGAGAGCGTTCATTGGTGGTATTTTCCATCTTTCTATCTCATTTGTCGAAACATCGTCGAACACACTATTCCAGCGAAATATAAATTTCATACAAGGGTGACAATTTCTAGCACAGATATACCTTAAGAAGATAATATCAGAAATTATTCAAATTTCTCATTATTAGACTGCCATCGAGTTCAATAAGTCTAATAATGCGAAAAGCTCAAAAATGAAAGTTCACAGAGTATTGTATGTTTTGATTAATCGAAACGAATTCATAAAATTTTTTCAAACACAGATAAAAGTGTATTAAAAATAAATTGCAGATCCGTCGGAAATACTAAATGAAAAATCTCACGATTACAATGCGCAACCTTCGCTCAAGGTAGCTTAGCTTTAGCTTCGGAGTGTGGCTTTGAAGCGACTTGCTGATGAACCAGGTATTAATGATTTCATGCCCATGCCACGTCGGAACTGCTGACCTGCGCTTGTTACGCACTGTGAGCACGGCAAATTATAGATTGTTCAATTTGCAGTAAATCTATAAAGATGATTCTCGCGAGACGCTGAAGGTGCCGAGTTGCCAACTTCTCTTCCGCATCGCCGTACCCCGAAGACGTTATGTTCGCGTTGCTCTTATATTCAAGTCTGCGATCTCGGAATATTGCACGAGGCACTATATAAAGTTTATAGCATTCCGCAGTTGTCAATTTTTAAAAGAAGTCAATTAGTACCGCCAAATATTCTCTCTGTCGCTAAATTGACAGCCCGTATAACGAGTTTTCTCCCTGAGAATATATAATTCAACTGTTGTGTGTAACAGTCTCTAATATCTTTGCTTCTAATTCTTATTAAGGGGTCATTCCCTACTTTAATGGCCAAAAAACTATGCTTATCTTTAACCATTTTTTTCACAGTAAAAAATTAAGAATGTTGAAAAGTACTTTTTAAAACTTTCTTTCAAACTGGCACCATTTTGTTATTTTTAAATAAAAATTCTTAATTGAGATTCGGGACATAGCGACACACTCATATAGATTAAGAATATTTTTGATTTTTTGTTTCAGGTAAGTCCGAACGATAAAAGTCATCAACGCATCTTTCTTGACACGCCATTCGAACGGTGTAGAAAACGCTTAATTAAAAAATTGTTTAAATTATGACAAAATTTTTTGTGTGTTATTTAAGAGTGCCCTAATAAATGCCAAAAAGATTTATTTCGTTGTATGGTGTATTTACTGCGAAAGAAATTGTTAAAGATAAGCATAGTTTTTGGGCCGTTAAAGTGGAATGACCTCTAAATAGCAATTTCTCAGCTTCACACAAAGTAGATTCTTGTGCGTCAAACGTTATTACACTTTATGTTGGTTCCTCAGGCTTTGATCCACTTGCACGAGCACAACATAATCCACAGGGACATCCGTGGCAACAATATCGTTCTGACGAAGGAAGGCGAAGTGAAACTAGTGGATTTCGGGCTCTCGAGAACGATGAAGAGCGAGCTCGAGAAACGGCGCACCTACATAGGCTCGCCGTCCTGGATGGCACCGGAAGTGGTTGGCAGCAAGGACAGCGGATACGACAGTCGAGTCGACGTATGGGCGATCGGCATCACGGCGATAGAGCTGGCCGACGGCAAAGCGCCGTTCGAAGCCATGCATCCGACTCGTGCGCTCTTCCAGATCGTTCGAAACCCACCGCCGACTCTCTACCGACCCGCCAACTGGTCGAAGAATCTCAATGACTTCATTTCGGAGTATGTGACCGGATAGATATAAAAATCTCTCTATTATACAAACGAGCACTGCGAAAGAAATAACGCGAGAGCTACACATCCGTTTCAGATGCCTCGAGAAGAATCCCGAGAACAGGCCGTACATGATGGAGATCATCGAGCACCCCTTTCTGTCGGAGCTACCCGAAAACGATTATCCTGTAATATACGAATTCAGTGCAATGTAGACTGCAAATTAGAAGAGGCAAATTGCACAGCGCGATCACCAAGTCGTCAATAAGCCGTCGGACTTCTGCAATTTCTAAATGCACAAATTCGATCGATTAGTTGTTAAAGATAATAGATTCGCAGTGATAAAATTTCTTCGTCAAGAGTGCTTAACATTTTTCGAAATATTTACTTGATCCTCAACCTTTCACAACTTCTCGGATACATAGACTCGATCTGCCTTTTCTTTTTTAGAATCTGCGAATATCTCAATCCATCTGAATTGCTATGGGAATCAAACGGGTAAATACGCACGTCATTTTTCAGCTGACGCAAGAGATCAAAGCGTTGACGATGGATCTCTCGGAGAAGGGCAGGAAACAAAGAAAAGCGGAATCAATAGTTCGTAAAGGTTTCCTGAAGGTAACGACTTGCGCAAAACACAATCTGAACTGCGAGTGAATGAACTTATAATATGTGTTGGAAGAAAATCTTAATTTATACTCGATAGACCCGTCAGGATGAACCGCCGGAACAAATGCTCACGGAGGACCTGGCGGCACTGGACATCCTGACTGAGGACGCGATCTTGGATGAACTTCGCGAAAAACTGCGGCGAGGTGAATATCACACGTTTATCGGCGACATTTTATTGATACTCAACCCGAACGAGGAGCACGATATTTACAATGTTTACGTAAGTCTTATGCTGGATCATCGATTTTCTGTCAAATAACTTTCGCATATTCAATCGTTAACAAAAATGACATCGTTTATCTCTTCCTCGGAACCGATATTTAAAACTTTTATCATTAAAGAATGACTGATAGAAAAAAACATTAATATGGTAGAGAGATTTGAAAAAACAAGCGCGACAATAAACACCATTGCATACTTTGTTGAACTAAGTATAGGCAATATTTCGATTATGTCCATAATCGAATCAAGAATTCAAGAAGTTACAAATGCACGTTTACTTTTTAACGAGGGGTAAACCGTTGACCAAAATCACGTACACCAATGCCCACTAAAGCCAACGGCACGCGATACTATTTTTCCTACTGGATTGCGTAGGAGAACCAATAAGGTTGTAGTTTTAGATCAGGTGACTTGGGGCTAAATCTTGGTTTTTTTTTATTGGTTCTCGTAGGCAATCCAGTAGGAAAAATAGTATCGTGTGCCGCTGGCTTAAGGCATTAAAATTCGACAGTAATGCCCGGTGAGCATTATTTGATCTTATTATCTTATTTTATCTTTTCTTTATAACGCCCCAGCAAGGCCAAATAACACCCATGACTAATGTCCAAAAAATGTCTAGTAATGTCTAGTAATGCAATCCGTACACCACAATGCCCTCAGCGGTTTATCCCTCGTTTTTCAATCTATCTCTTTAGATCTTACTTATAATTTCACATACGTATCGAATATCGCTATTTTATATGTACAATAAATCTGAGAATTGTCAATTATGTGTGTTCAATAATAAGATTGCTGTCATTACAAATTGTCTAACTTGAGCAATTTATTTCGCAGCATCATGCAAAGTATCAATGCAAATCGCGATCAGATAATGCTCCGCACATCTATTCCGTGGCAGACAGCGCGTTTCAAGATGTCATGCTTAACGAAGAATCTCAGCACATTTTGCTGGCCGGTGAAAGCAACTCCGGGAAAACGACGAATATGCTGCATCTAGTGGAGCACCTTATGTTCCTCGGAAAAGTGGGTTCGATGCGACCGTATTAGCGATACGTGAAGCGAAAGTGCGATAGAACTCGTTTACACTCTTTTCGTCTACAGGGTCTGCACGATACCGGAACAAAGGTGCTGCGAGCTATAAGAATCATTCACGCTTTTACGAACGCGGCGACACCGCTGAATGCAAATTCAACCAGATGTATGTTGCAAATACAGACGACTTACGGGTCGACCGGCAAAGCATCAGGCGCAATATTCTGGCTGTATCAGTTGGAAAAATGGCGCGTGTCGACTCACGACAGGTAATTTACTTGAACCACTTTCTTAGTTGAAGATCTAATTCTTTAGTGATTTTCAGTTTTACATAATATAACAAATTGAAGTATGAAGCACTAAAGGATATATCGCGTTCTATATTCCAATGTACAACGGGTTATCATTATACAGGCACATGCGAAAATCTGATATGTATAAGCGGTGCTTCTTATAATTTTTTTTCAATTCGAGAAAACGGAAACAGTGCAGCAGAAAATAAAACTATAAAAGTGTACAATAAAAATAGCAAAACAAATTAGATTACAGCGTGATTAATATTAAAAATGATAAAATAGAAAATGATCGTTCGCGAAAATGTGTTCCAACATATCGTAACAAGAAAGTACTTTTTCAGAAATCAATCAAACTTTCATATCTTTTACTACCTTTACGACGGTCTCGAGGCATCAGGAAAATTGAAAACGTATTTCCTACCAAGTGGGAGAAAACTTCGATATCTCCGAGTAACCGACAAGGGCACCGAAAAGAAACGAGCGTTCAAAGTGAGAAGCGAGCCACAAAATAACGCGATTAAACTCGAGGAACTTAAGGAATGCTTTAAGTTGATGGATATGGAGGAGCATTGCCAGACGATTTGGAAAATCCTCGCAGCGATTCTGACACTCGGGGAGATTCGATTCGTCGAAGGCAATAATGGAGAGGCTGAGGTGGACAACACCGAAACTGCTAAAAGAGGTAACTTGAATCCGAACTAAACTCGTCGACGCATGAGAGATTTACTTTGGTACATTGAGTCCGAATGTTAAAATATTGTGCTTGTCCGCGAGATATGAAAATTGATCGGTTGTTTCGAATTGCAGTGGCGGAACTACTTGGCATAGACTCGAAAAAATTCATTTGGTCCCTCGTTAATTACTGCTTGGTCGTGAAGGGGTCAGCGATACGCAGGAAACACACTTGTGAAGAAGCGAAAGAGGCGCGGGATGTCTTGGCGAACACTCTTTATCAGCGTTTGGTAGACTGGATAATCAACACCTTCAACTATAAGCTTTCGATGACTCGTAGCCTTTAGTAAGTTACGCAAAGATTTCATGGAACTGCAGGCCGGAAAACTAAAAGATCGATAAGGATTTTGTGTCAATGACTGTTTATTAATCTCTACCTCGATTTTCAGCGGCGATAAATATTCCATTAGCATCCTTGATCACTTTGGACTCGAATGTTTCTCAGTAAATCGGCTGGAACAGCTATTGGTGAACACGATAAACGAACAAATGCAATATTATTATAATCAAAGAGTGTTCGCTTGGGAAATGGTAAGTTTCTAATGAATAATCCGTCGAAACATACAAGCTCATAACAAATACATAAGACTTTGTTTTAGTCTCCGTTTGTAAATATTTAAAAAAAATGTACCTCAATTTTAATAAATTCTTAAAAGAATTATATTCTATTATGATTTTACATTTTAATATTCATAAAACGTTGAATGTACGCTATTAAAATCCACTCGCGTCTCTTGGGTTTAATTAAATTCTAATCATAAAAATTTTCTACATAACTTTCTTCATAATGTCAATGAGCTAATGAAATTTATACATAATACATTACATATAAAATAAAAGAATTTGTATAGAGTACTCTTTTACGGTTTCAGCAAGAGCAAGAAGAGGAGGATATACCTATGCAACGTTTACGCTTTTACGATAATAAGGAAGCGGTCGATCAATTAATGAGCAAGCAAGATGGCCTCTTTCATATTATCGACGACGCTTCGCGGCAAATGCAAGACGCTCAATTTATTCTCGAGAGGATTAAAGAACATAAACGTGGCATTCACGTGAAACCAGTGAGTTCGCACGAGTTCACGGTTGCACATTATACCGGTAAGCTGATATACGACGCCAGCGAAATTGCCACGAAAAATCGAGACTTCATACCGCCGGAAATGATCGGCACGATGAGATTCTCCTCGCACGATGCAGTCAAGCAGATGTTCACCAACAAGCTAACCAAGTCGGGGAACCTGACGATCGTCCACGCGCAGGGTCTCGCGGAAAAGAATACGTCAAAGAAAAAATGGAGTGCTCTTGTGCAGGAGACTTCTATGTTTCGAGTAGGTAAACTAGTCGGAAACAGACACATAGCTCTTGGAACACCAAGTTTATATATTTAACAACGTCAGTGTTTTCTTGACCATACCTGGCATTTTTTAATGATACGGAAAATTTATTATTACGAACCAAACAACTTTTGTTTGAAACGTTTTTCCGTATCTTTCACATTTTTGGAGATATTTGCGTGGATCATTTAAAATGAGACACCCTGTATATTTAATTTGTGTCTATCTTAATGGCAGCTATCATTTGACCAATTCAATTTCCAATTTCTAATTCGAAGTATCCTCTATCTGCAACGTTAATTTTAGCATTGAAGACGAGTAACTTTTCGCGAAAACTAATCTCTTAATTTACATCATAATAAAACAGATTTCATTTAAATTCAACAGAAGTATAACACTGCGTCCAGAGGACAGTACTCGCAAACACGCAAGATGCGAACGTGCGCGGCGACGTTCAGAACGACGAGTCTCGAGATTTTGAAAAATCTCGCGACAGGCGCGGGAAACGGTGGCACACATTTTGTCAGGTGCATACGCACCGACCTCGAGGATGTCCCTCGCAGCTTTTATCGAGAAATCGTAAGGCAACAAATCAGGGCGTTAGCCGTTCTCGATACCGCGAAAGCCAGACGACGCGGATATCCGTACAGGATACCTTTCCAAGAATTTCTTCGAAGGTAAGTGAATTATCTTGCCAAAATAATACTTTCAATTAAATATAGTAAGCTAAATACGAAGAAATAATATGCTTTAATGTGAAGCTAAATGGGTAAGAACTCATTGCGAGGAGTGAACCGCTGAGGGCACTATGGTGTACAGATTTGCGGCATTACTGAACATTACTAGACATTACTGGGCATTTTTTGGGCATTAGGCCTTGCTGAGGCAATTACATACAAGATAAAATAAGATAATAAGATAAAGTAATGCCCACTGGGCGTTAGTAGACATTGGTGTACATGATTTTTGTTGGCGGTTTATCTCTCGACTCATTGGATACTCATAAATAATGCGACACTCATCAAGGAACAAGCAACACTTTGCTGTTACGTACACACCTCATATTGTAAGATTTAGACGACTGTTTCTAATTACAGATACAAATTCCTGGCCTTTGATTTTGACGAGACGGTGGAGATGACAAAAGATAACTGCAGACTACTTTTGATCAGATTAAAAATGGAAGGCTGGATCATCGGCAAGACCAAGGTCTTCTTAAAGTACTATAATGAGGAATATTTGTCGCGCCTGTACGAGACTCAGGTGAGAAAAATCATAAAAGTGCAGTGCATGATGCGTGCCTTTCTAGCGCGTAAGAACATCGCTTCGAAAATCAGTAACATCAAGAAGGAAATTGGTAAGTAAATTTCTGGTCAAGTAAATCGTGCTATTCGCCAATTATCTATTGTGCGAATATTTTTATACATTTTTAAACGTTTCAATCGACAATGTGCATTGTTTCAGTGAAGAAAGCGTCAATTAAGAGAAATAACTCGCTCACTACAGAAGAAGCAGCATTGATGATACAAAAAAGTAGGTATTAAAAAATATATAGAAAATTATCCTCGATTAAAATGCGATTCGTCTACTTTACATATTTTTCACAAAAATATATTCTCAACAATAAACAAATCCTGTCGCACACGTTTTAGTTATAGTTTTTACGAAATTGTCTTCTTTTAGAATTTTGTACGCGATAATTTAAAAAAATGATTATATCTTTTTTAAACTCGAGATGTACATGATTTAACGAGATTTGTGATGAAATCTGAAGAAATTTTACAACAGCTTAAACGTGTGTTATTTAAACTGCTAATATATTATACATTTTATATATGTAACACGTTTATTTTATAAGCATTTGTATAATTGCTTGCACTTTATTATTATACTTATTCAGCATACAGGGGCCACATGGTAAGGAGGCAAACGGGTTCCTTACTGAAAGAAGAGATGAGTCAAGAGACAAAGGATTTTATTAAATTCTATTACAGCAAATGGAGATCGAAAAGCATGTTCCAAGTCCTCCTACGGTACCGTGCAGCCCGCTATCAAGATTTCGTACAATTATCCCAACAGGTATTATCTCTTTTCTTTTTTAAATTTGATTCACGAATTAATTCTTTCATAATACGAAATACTTAAATAGCTTTTCGAGCCAAAGTAGGATTTAATTGCTCAATTAATGTTCTTTACAATGTTCTTTACTAACATTTTGGCACATTTGATTCGGCCATCATCAATGACTTTACAATCAGAACTGAAAAACTAAACATGGAGCATTTTTTATTTATATATTCCAGAGGGATCGTGTTTCGTGGGTACATAAATCTTGTTTTGGCTCAAAAAGCTATTTAAATATTTCGTATTATTAATTCAATATACGAGTCGTAAAACAATTTTTCTATTATTTTTACGAAAAATCGTTCAGACAAATAGAAAAATTAATTAATGATTAGTAGTATTTGTTAATCTACAGTTTACGTCAAGTTTTGTCATTTTCTTCTTTCATAAAATATGACAGTAAAAGACTTTTTATTAAAACCCCCCACAACTAAGAATGTAAGTAATGCAAATGTAAATTATCAAGTGTTTATGTAACAGGTTCATCTGTACAATCAATCGGTAGTGGCAGCTTTGGGAAAAATAAATGAACACGTATCTCTCGGAAAGATCGATCCAAATGCCAAAATAAATGCCTACATAAATGAGATGAAACCACCTCAAGTCTACAAACTGCCTTTCGACATGCAACAAGAGCTCCCGTATTTCGACGTGAATTATATGAATGATCCTTCGAACGTGAACATGAAACGTGGAGGGTAAGTTACCTATATATAAAATACCTTTTAAACTCCAACCTGTAACGAGAGCCTAAATGGGAAATGTGTATTAAAACTGCGAGTATTATAAAATGTTGATACTACAACGTGAGTTTACCGTATAAGTTCCATAGATATTCGATAATAATTAGGGTATTAACTGAGATGGTAAGACCCCTATTATGAGATAATCTAATACGAGATAAAAGGATATTTGCTAAATTGAGAGACATCATCTATTGGTTTCATCGTGAATTGATTGCCCTCGGGGTGAAATCCGTTTAGTGGAAAATTCATTGTTAGATCGTGTAATCTTCGCGAAAAAGATTTGTGATTGAATTTGGATGTTGAGAACCTGCTTACATACACGATACAGAATTTGTGAAATCCGTTGGATATAAAAGCAAAGTGACGAATTTTACTTACCAATCGTTACTCCGTTGCTCCGTTCCGTTTGAATGCAACACCAAAGCGGCGAAAGACGCTGCCGGAATCGAAACGTAGCAACGATTTACTCCGGATGCTCGTCCGAGCGTACCCATCCTCCTTCACCGGGCTGGGTTCTCCGCTAGGTACAAGAATCACGAGTGTTATACACGAAAAACAATATACATACCCAATACAACACTTGTAAAATCGGCTGGATATAAAAGCAAAGTGATGAAATTTACTTACCAATCGTTATTCCGTTGCCCCTTTCCGTTGCCCCTTTCCGTTTGAATGTCGCGACACCGAAGCAGGGAGAGACGCTGCTGGGCCTAAATTCCGTACACGATTACCGACGACCATCGATACGTTAACGACGTTTGCGCAGCTTTTCTATCATGTAGAAAAAGCTGCGCAAACGTCGTTAACGTATCGATGGTCGTCGGTAATCGTGTACGGAATTTAGGCCCTGGAATCGAAACGCGGCAACAATTTGCGCGGAATTCGCTCGTCCGGACGTAGCCATCCTTCTTTACCGGGTTGAGTTCTTTACTAGGCACAAGAATCACGAATGATAAGTATACACGAAGAACAATATCGCGGTCCAACTTCTTGTAACGCGACGCTGCGCCGGCGCGAACTTACTAATGCAACGGATGCGCGTCACCCGACTCGCACCGCTACAACCCCCGTAATTCCGACGGGAAATCGGATCTTGCGAATCGGTAGTACGTCCGCGCGTAGTCTGTCGCGGTAATCCCGACGTTCGCTCGCGATCTTCCGCACGTTTTTGCAAGCAGCAGACACTTTGAAGCAGCAACACCGAAACGAAACACGCGGGACGACAACCGGAGTTCAGCCGTTTGCAACACGACGCGGCGCGGACTCGACGCAAATATGGCGGATGCGCGGTCGACCTGTGCGCATACGTTACTCGCAAGACGCGCATAAAATTTGAAAATTTAAACAATTATCTCGATGTTTTGCTATCATGAACTGGAAAAATATTGTTTCATATACAAGTATATATACATATATAAAATATTATCATATACGATTATATGCACGTAGATATTTTATAATATTTAATATTTTATGATTCAATTGCATTTTGCTTTTTGTAAAAAAGCAAGGCAAAAGTTGGTAATTTAATTTTTCTTTTTACCATTTTTCTTACATAAACAGATATTACATAAGAGGGAAAACCATATATAGATGTTTTATATGTAATTATATGTATAAGAAATATTTAATGGGTAGAACTATTGTTAAAATGTAGAAAAATGGAGACTATGTGGGCACTATCGAGCATTATCAAAAAGTCGATCGGAACTGTCAGTATTGCATAGTTTTCAAAGATGAAGCACCAGCGGTCAGATTAAAAATTATTTAAAAATTAATGGCAACGCTGTATTGTCACATTTCACTAGGAATTATAGGTCTCTCCTAGAACTACAAAATTATATTGTTAAAATAACTTTGTTCTCAACTTGAGATTCGGTTTTTGAAAATAAGATGCTAACTTTGCAGTAGCATTTAATTCTTTTACAAAAATTATTATTGAATATATTAATTTCATAATCAAGATTCTTGGTGCTTTATATATTCTTTTGATTATTTCAGTATTTTTAGTCTTCTTTCTTCGCATATAATTTTCTTCCTTCTCACATTAATCTTCAGTTTTGTGCATATGTACATTCTTTATGTTGTATGGTTTCTGTTTAAAAATTGAATTTTTTAAATAATTTGACAATATGTATAATAAACTAAGAAACATTCCTGCAGGTCTGTAACATCTACTTTAAGCGAAGACGAATCCTGGGATGCACCGTTCCGTAGACAAACCATCCCCTGGGCCAACAAAAATGTGCACACGAGAGGTACCTAAATTCGCTACAAAGAAATTCGAAAGAGTTCAAAAAATCCAAATCAATAAATTGCTTTGTCACATATTAACTTATATCATTTTTTTCTTTTTTTTCAGATATTCAAGTCCAAACGACAAACTCGCCGCACCGTGTGCCCCTTCATCGTCCGTCCGTTAACGGTGAGCAAAGTTTAATCAATACTCCATTCACGAGGGACCCGAATATTCCAATTCAGTGTTTACCGGAGGAACCATCCCGCCGCAATATTTCTGGCTTTCAATCTGCGAATCAACATGACTCCACACGTTCTTATACTCCTTACTCCGCAAACTTGCAACGAAGCGTAAGTAGTTATGGTCATCTTACATACATGTACCTTCAGCATTTCTTTACAAATACCCATTTCTTCTACTTAAAAACTTCATTATTTCAAATTTCGTTACAATTTAAAAATCTTCAACTTTTTATCCTCAACATTAAACGAATAAAATTTTGTTCTATAAAACAATTTCTATGTAAAATCATTTGAAAAATGAAGAATTTATTTGTTATTATTATCTGATATTTAGTAAAATCTTTAATTACAGCTTGTTTGTAAATTAAAAATTGCAGTATAACATTTTTTTTAAAAACCGAGAATTTAAAGTACGTAATTACAATAATTTTCACATTTTAATTACTCTATACATAGTATGTACTCTATTACTCCACATATGTATATAATTACACTAATTTTTCAATTTCAATTACTCAACATACATATATATACAAAAATTTATATTTTATAGAACAAGAATGACACTGGATCAGCATATGCTAGGAAGGAAGTATCATCGTCAGCAGTATCATTCAATCAAACACAACCTTCGGCAATGCGTAATTTTAACAACTATGAGTCAGATATTCCCAACAGAAATAATAGAGAATGGGAGTTTGAGAACAGAATTAATCGCAATACTAACAGTAATAATCGGTATAATCGTAGTTAACATAAATTTCTAGCAATATTAGAAAGTTGTCTCTTCATAACAGAATTTTTTTCACTGCAGTGTAAATCCTATAAAAGAATTAGAAATGATCGGACGCAGGAACAACGATGATGAAAACGATGATGCACCTCCATTCAACTTTCAAGTAAAATATACCAGCTTATTTGTTTATTTTTTCCATCACACACACACACATATGTGTATATATTTCTATTATACCTACAAACATATTTTAAAAATGAGAAAATTAAATCATAAACTTCAAAAAGCTACATATTGTACATAATCTTCAGAATAGGTTGTTATTCTAGGCTATGCTGCGAAAAACGACTCATCAGCGTGCTTCGATGAAACGTAATCCAGTATACGAGAGCGTCACGCCAGAATCGAGACCAAAATCTCATCACCGCAATAACGCTTTAGATGAATCTAATACTGTCTACAAGAGCGGCAACAGTCGGAAAGATTCACCAGAGTGGAGCCCGAACGAAATGATTCTCATGTCAGAGAAATATGCCAAGGAGAATGCATGGGATGAGGAAGGTGCCAAAGATAGTATTACTGCGGAGATTGCACCAGGCATTATTGTCAAGGGCTACGTTGCTGACATCTAAAAAAATCACAAGTAGAGATCAAGTGCATCAAAATCAGTTAATTGCATTTATGTCTTTTTGCGTATTTACTATTGTTAGGGCTATAATCTGAAACAGGAGGATCATTAATTAAAGTTCAGTAGAGACTAAGGATCAATGCAATTTCTTGTAAAATTTTAGATTGTGTCTAGTAATCAATATGTGTTTTGAATTCTTAATTATAATACTAAGAATAAAAGAGGTATATCTACAACAATGGCGCAATAAAATTGCTGACATTGTTTGAAAAATTATTCTTTTTCTTCTTCTTTCTAATGTACAACTCCATCCTATCTTCCGACATAAACTTCTTCTATTGAAGCTGTGTTTTGAGCTATTTTTCTTTTAACAGAAAGTAGACTGTTGTTACTCTAGTCTTCCAACCTTCCTTTCTTCTCAAATGGGATTGGAACTATATAAAGAGATATTTATGGCAAGACACTCGGTGGATCGGTCAGATTTGAATAAAAACTGAAGTTAAACTCGCATCTTTGACTAGTTGGAGTAATGCACATCTTTCTGAATGATGATCACCACTGATAAATTATTAATTAAACAAATAGTTAACTAAATTAACAGTTATAACTAAAGGAATTAAAGATATTAATTTTATTTAAAACTTATTTATAAAAAGTGTTAAATCTTATTTCTCTCTGTGGATACAAACAATAACCATTTCTCTCAATACATCAATATCATCAGTACTCAGAATAAATAATTTAAATAATAAATAGCATATTACATGTATTCATAATAGCACTGATTAATGCGCATAATGTGTTCATGAAAAGAAATATATAATGACACACATAATTCTTTTCTATTAACACATTTGCAGCCACTAACGTATAATTTCATATTGTTTTAAGAACTATAGCTAATGTAATTTTATCATCATTTTAAAATCTGTAGCTGGTTCTGTTGATCTAATTTAAAATCATTTTATCTTTATAAGAATGCAGATAACTTCATAATTCGTATTTACAAGTTCTTACAAACATGTATATTATAAAGCAACTTTTTCATTTTTATTCTCATTTTAATATCAGACTTCTACAGCCACCAACTACAGATTATTGCAAACCGTATATGGCTTCCAGTTTTAGGTCATGTGCTAGACTCGCCAGCTGCAAAAGTGTTGATATAAAAAAAAGTCAACATGGTTAATTATAAAATAATCAAATTTATAAAATATTGCAATAATGAGTATGTAGAAATAAATTTATAAAAATATTTGTTTCAATCGATATAAATAATATTAGATTCCTCTTCGTAAACATTCTTAAACTATTATAATTGTTATCACAAACTATAATGTTCAATACATAACAAAACATGATACAAGAAGTCCCAACAGCATACCTGTGTATATTCTGAGATATATGTTTACATGTATGTTTAAAAGATTTCATAAACACACGGTATATTGTACAAATATTCTCAGAATGTTAGATATATTAGTACATTCTATGGATGTACAGAATATCCATATGCTGTTAATAATAATTTATTCTATGAGTCATTTTATCATAAAATGTAAATTTAAAATATAATATGTATACATACTGGCCATACGTAACAGTTCTTAAATATATAATAAATTCTACAAATATAAAAAAGGCAGACACCATGTTACTAGACATTTTCAAACAAGAATCTTTAAAAATGTTTGGTAACATATGTGTTTATCCATCACAGTAGTTCATATATAAAAATATATATAATGTTGCAGTGACCTCAATAAAGCAAGCGAATTTAGTAATAGCATAGTGCTTATCCATTTGCTATTAGCCAAATCAGTGTAAAAATAAGCAAAACATGATGCAGTTGCACGACTGGTACTCAATGTCCGATCAATGCAACCTAGGCCGGTATTCAGAGTCCAAGCTTAAGATCTGTCTTAAGCACGATCTTACAATCAGTTAAAATGGTCTTAAGACCGGAAACCGCCCTGCTTTAGTTTCACGTGCATAGTTTTGTCTTAAGAACGTGAAAGATCGTCTTGACAAACTCCGTACATTTATACATGTTTTTACATGAAAACATTTTAAGAGGGAAAAAATTACTCATTTATAATTATATATAACTTCGCGCAAATGTATACAATTGTATACAATTATAAATAACGAAAGAATGTGAATTACCAGTAGTTGATTAACGATAAAAAGTATTCGCTTATGAACTATGCTGTTACTTCACCAAATTCGCTTGCTATGTCGATTACTCACAACAATTATTTTGTCATGTTTTTATCCATTTAATTCATATTTTATTATTTTTGATAAAGTTGTTGAAAACAAGTTGCTGACAGTTTGGTACAAAACGTAATAAATAATATAATTTATATATTTTGTGTGTGTACGTGTGTGTTAGTTTAAGATGTATATACGAGGGTGGATTGAAAAGTGAATAACATGTAAATTATATTATTTATTGTTTTGTACTAGATTATTAGCAACTTGTTTTATGTATGCGTGCGTGCGCACGCACACACATATAAAGAGCATGTCCATCACGAAACCAACAAACATTGCCAACATGTTTGGATGGTAACTTTAAGTAAAAAAGTTCATACATGATCTAAACATGCAGGTAAAATTTGTCGGTTTTATAAGAAAACACCCTGTACCTCTAAAACACCCATGTATACTACGTATACATAAAAAATATATATGTTTATACATATACATATGTTAAAAATATTTCATATTTATCTACCCACTTATAACTTTTAAATGCAAAAAGATAAATTTGCATTTGCTCTGAACACGATGGTGTCATCAAAAATGTCAACAATGTAAATTTTATTTAAAAAATTAGAAGAGTGGATAATTTCTTTTCTTGATATATAAAATTGCAACTGATAACCATTACCTAATCTTGATCTGGTTGAGTGCTATCGTGGCCACAGTTTTGTTGCGAACTTTGCTTGATAATATTAACCAATGTATCCAATCTGGTAGGACGTGCTATTTGCAGGACCATGTGCGCTTCTTCTAAAATTAAGAGACCATTGTGCGCATCGCTGGCTGATAGATTATGTGCTGATATCACATGCCGTCTCCAAGCTGCATGTGTAGGAAGAACCTATGTGTGTGTAGAATAAAATAAAATAATAAAAATAAAAAATTGTCTATTATATAAATGTAAATATCACAAACACATTAATTTTACAAGAATAAAGACTTATTGTCGCCAGTACATAATTAACCAATTTAGTAAAATTGATGGACGACGCAACTGGCAATTTTAATTAGAGAAAATTCATTGTGAAAAATATTACTTCGGTCAGGGTTTGAACCTGGACTTCCCTAAATTCTAGGCATGTCTCAGTGGTCGAATTGATGAGACGCCTAGAGTGTAGGAAAGTCCAGGTTCAAACCCAGGCTGAGGTAATATTGTTGCGTCGTCCATCCATTTCCCTACATTGGTGTATTAATTTAATTTGCTTGCTTTTTATCTCAAAACAGATCCAAAAGAACTCCATGCACTCACTTGTAAACACCATTTGCAATTAAGAGATGGCGAAATAGTATGGACAGCTTTTATGTGCCTTCTGCGGAAGCCCCAACTCGTATATGCTCTGTCGCAAAAAGGGCAGGGAAACGGCGGATATGCTGAGCCACCTTTTATAGTCTCTTCTGATAAATCTGTACTGTAAGACTCGACGAACCCGGGAAAACTAGGCTGCGAAACGCCAGGATTGTATCCCAGAAAATTCGACGACTCCGGTCGATCTAACGTTTGTTCGGCACGAGAATAATTCGGTAAGTCGGGTGACGGGTCCTCCAATATTTTCGAGATATTCCACAACGAGCTCCGTTCAACTGCGAGGGAATCTCTCCTGTGCGTTTGTGGATCTGGAGAAGTGTGGCGAGCTTCAGCTATTACTGTTACAATCGGCCTCGACGATCCTGTAAAGAATTCCAGTTCTTTAATTATTTCTTCATAAGTGGAATTTGATGCGTAAATTAAATGTTGAATAATCTACGATACGATAGTACAATCTGCTCAATAATAATTTCTTGATTTTATAATACTTTTCTACTTACAACATAAAATTAGAGTAATAGTATTTACAGACATAACGCATGTTCTAATTTTTCGCTCTAAATGATATCATTTATTCATGTTAATGCGTTATTCTCAATTCTACTTTTGAAATGAAAATGTTACAACCAGAAGACGCTCGTGTCCACGCACTCGCGTATTCGTGTTCGAGCACTCGGAAATGATAAAGTTCGACTTGTAAATGCTTTCCGTTTAAAACCTATGATAGCCTCAACAGTTCTACACAAGGACTTTTGTTTTAGAATGCTCTAAACAATCTGTTAGTGAAAGGCTTATCAAGCTTTCCGGGACACTCTGCATTTATAGTGTAAAATACATGGAAAATATTTAAGTTCATTTGCAAAAAGATCCACGAAGTTGTCGCTCCTGTAAGTACTGTAAAAAAAACACACAACATTCATAGACCTCATCTTTTCGTATACACAGATATGCAAAGGACACATAAGTGTATCAGAAATGAGGAGACAATTAAAAATGTAAAATATGTTTATTTGCGACCAGTCGTTTGTCTTGTCTACAATAGAATTGATTTAAATAATATCGCTTCGAAGCTGTCGGTGTGCTCCCAATGATTCAACGCTCGTACCGCGCAAACGAAACAAAAAAGAAATCGACACGACTTTACAAGTTATAATAAAACGGAGATCAAAGAACACTTTCGCGCGAGTCTCGAGAAAGGGACGCGCGACAGACATCGCGCGTCGATTCGCAACGTATATACCCTAATAGTTCGTGGCGCATGCTGAGCGACCCTCTGCTGCGATTTAAATACTCTACAAGCGGTGTCTTAAATCACTATTCCTGTCGTAAGAGCTACGGTTTTTCCTTTTCTTCTTTTAAGTGTACATAGAGCTGCCGTGGCCGTGCAGCACGTTTACGCACGCACGTGATCAACACGGCCGAAACGTATCCTTGGTACATATATGTACATACAATGCTATACGTATACCTCTAACTGGATATGCGTACCGCGTACGCACGTCCGTGTATATACCACACATTTCCGCATAACGAACGCATATATACACGCGCATCTTGTCCGTGTATTGATAATGTGGGTGTATGTGAGTGTGTGTGTGGGTGTGTAAGCGAGTACGTGATGTGTATATTCGGGTGCGAGAGAAAGAGAAAGAGAGACTCGCGTGTCTCTCCGATATATGCCAACTTTTTAATAATATCGCACCGCGTTTTACCGTAAAAGCGAATTCTCGCGTGAACCGTAACTAAAGAGTAAGAAGGAATGTTACTTGAAGGTGTTGTACGGTGAAGCAAAGGTGCACAGGCGGATGAATGATCGACCTTACTCATGAGCACGTGAGAGGAAAGCGGGAGGGAGATTCTTTGAGCACGCGGTGTGTGCGTGTGCGTAGAGGATGAGAGGGGAGATGAAACGAATTATCTTGGGATTTCGCTCGACAAGATGGAAATTAGAAAAAGTAAAGACCTACGAGGAAGGCTTAGAGTTATTCGATCGTTCGCCGCTCATCACGCCGAGCAGCGAACCTGAAGCGTATAAATAATTCGATCGCGTCTACAATGCTCCTTCCTAGTTCACCCTGTCACCCCGAAATCTACAACCTAGAAACGTTACCGCGGCTCGGAAAGCGCACATTTCCAAAACCTATTGCACGTCAACTCCGCGCGATCTTAGCCGCCATCGACCGACCGATCATCCGTCTCTTCTTCCCCTGGCTACATGCTACACGCGCGTGAATCTTACCGTCTACTTACATCGATATTGGTTTTTTTTTTACAGTGTCCTAAATATAAAGCGCGAAAGCCTCATACCAAAGAGGAACAAGCGAGGAACGAGTCGTCCTACGACGCTTGTGTGGAAACAGACGGGGTGACGGGCTTAAAAGAACGATCCTATTCCAGCCAGTGGAAACGTTTCCGTTTGACCCCTGACCTAAAACGCCCTAGTCATTGGGTGTAGACCGAGCGTCTCTGAAACAGATACCTTTTCAAGCCCCTATTACTAGTGTCGATTTTGGTTACGCAATTCTTCCAAGCCTCCTCCCATTCGATGCTATTAGGCGCTATGCCGCTAAAGTGCAACAGGACCTCCCGTATTAAGTGTATCTTGTTGCTATCGAACTGCTGCTTGCCCATCTTGCCGTTGACGTTGCAGAGAATCCTCTCTTCCGGCGTGAAGAGGATCTTCATGAGGTCGCAGGCCAAGTGATCCATCGGCCGGGACGACGCCCAGGTCGAGATTATGTCCGGGCTTGGCAGGAGATCGGCGTAAGGTAGATGCTGATACGAGTAAAGCAGCGGCTTGACGTCCGAGAATCCACTTAGCCCAGACAAGCCAGATAAACCGGAAATGTCTTCAGCAGGGCTGTTCCCAGACCCTGCCACACATATCAGCACAGCGCGCTTTAGACACGGGCTGCCCCACACACGTGAATTACGCGCACAATAAAGAAAATGCGAGCGAAGGTACTTTAAAGGCTATAATGAAGGACCGATCACGCATCTTCCGTCTCACGTATGCACTGCTCACGCATGCACGCACATACGCTTATGCGCCGCCGATCGAAGCGTGACGCCGCGCGACCGGGCCTCGTAAACTCTCTCTCCGAATTGCAAGAATTAAAATTGCGACAATTACGTTTCATTACTTTTTGCACGGATTACGAATTGTTGCAAAGCGAATCGCGTCTCGATGACGTGACCATACTTCCGTATCGAATATTCCGTCAAATACTTTTGCTGTATAACGCAATGAGCCACGGGGACATTTACCATTTGCACCAATTACGTCGCTCTCATTGTCTTTTCGACTGAGTTCTCTTTACTCGTGCACGCAATCATTGCCTCTACCTCTCACACACGGAGCCCTTGCAGCACAGCAAATAAGGAAAACGTGGCGCGCCAAAACGAGCAGAACAGAATTTGCGGTGAAAGCGAACAGAATATTCGAAAAAGCTATAATCTGCGGTATCAAAGAAAAAGCTTTGATACTACAGTAGCCGGCCGGCATATGCAAAGATAACAAGTCTCTGTATACAACTGTATACAGCATTTGTGCAGGTGTAGTATTAATTGTATATGCGATCATGAAAACGACATTTCAAGACACAATGTGTGCTAAATGATACCTGATATCCGGTTCCCAAATTATATCCGCATTACTTTATTACTTTGATACAATCTTTTGCACGTAGATTCATAATAATATCTCGTACGTGTATCAAACTCGACGCCTTTGATTGCCAACGAAAATTACTACGTATTAAATGTGCGAATAATTTGCAAAATCAAGAAATTATTAAGAACAAGTTACTTTCTTCCAATCATAGAATATTCAACAAATTTGATGAATATTTCTCAGTTCTAGCACTACGATTAGATGCTCAAGTGCACTTCACAAAATTGTTTAATGTCGAAAATTAAAACGTGGGAACGAACAATGATCCACAACTAAGGAAATGTATTGGAATCACATTTAAAAAAAACTGTAATTAAAAAAATAGAAGGCAGGGTGTCTCCCAAGTGCATACATGTTTGTGTACGCAAGTTGTATCTTCAAGTGGCTAATTTAGTGGATTCGTACTTAATATGTATAAAAACCAAGACATTAGCAACGATATAGCGGTGAAAATGCAAAGAAGGGAGACTCTGTGTTTCACTTTGCGTAATACATGATCTTCTAATACAGAAAAAAAAAACACAGGAATATACAAGAGCGTTGGCCGTTTACGTATCTGCCATGTAGTGCATACTAAAATTGCATAAAATAGAAACGAGATTGGATCAGTACAGGCACTAACCTTGATTCCCATCCGCCTGTCCTGTGTCTAGCCTCTCCGCCGGATCCTTGTCTAAGGGAGATCGTTTCTGGAGATCGTCCACCGCCATTTCCAACGGTTCTATCTGAAATTCATTTAGATTCAACGCTGTATTTCATGCACACGTACGCGACGCCTTACATTCGATCGTCGCTTTATATCATAATTTTCTATTCTTCCAACTAACTTTCATCTCCAATCGCTGATACACCGGATTAGGTAATGTTTCAGGCAACATGTAATCTCCATCCTTCCCGCTTTGATCGCTGCCGGCGGACTCGTTTGTGTTCTCCGACTGCGATATTCTGGGGGTAAGCGCTTTCTCCAGAATAGAGTTGTTCTGCTGTTTACTAACTTTCTGCTTCTTCTTAGGCGTCTCCTCCTTGTTCAGCGGCACATCCTCGGCCACGGCCTGTTCTAGCTCAGCCAGTCGTTTGTAGGACTCCTTCGCAAAGATGTCACCGCCGGACAGGCCCCGAATTTGCAGTGTCTCCGCTGCTTTTAAGAGCGCCGGTAAATTCTTCTGCTCGATATTCACCTCTCCTTTATATATAAATATCAATAGCGCCTCCAGCTCGCTAAAGTGTACATCCTGAAGTATTATAACTGGATGCTGACACGGGTTTGTCTAAAAGAATTAAACAACAAAACCGTCAGACTGCATTGTCCAAATCATTAATCGATCGTACTCGCGCATATTCAATTTATTGCTTCATTGGACTTTGTTGTAACCGACGGGTCGTCTCCCTTTGCCCTTCAAATTCAAGACAATCGTCGTCGTTTCGGAAATCCGTGTAGCATCGCTTACATTACACAAATTACACTTGGTAAATATACTCGAGAGTCATTTTCTGTTACCGTACGACAATCGACTAGTTGTTCTTCGCTCGGAGAGCCACTTTCATTACAATCCTCACGGAGGAATAGCGAGATATAAATAAAGCCCGCGCTTAAATGCCAAGATAAGCGTTTCGAAATGAAAGTGGCAAAGATGTGTCGCCGTTCGTCGACGAAAACTAAAGACAAACGGGGGGGGGGGGAGGGGAATAGTCACGATTACAGACCCACGGAAGCCAAACGGCTGACAATCAACAGTCGTTAAGTTTATCTCAATAATAGCCGCGATACCTCTCTAACCTTGACGCGAGTGTACCGAAGGCGCGCTACCCAGCACACGATTCAAGTCGACGACGTTCCCGCGAAGGCAGACAGAGAAAAAGCACGAAGAGAGCACCCTGTAAACAACGTCCTCGAGGGGCATGACAACACGCGTGCGGCGCGTGCGAGGACGACTGGTGTCGCGCGGTGCGCGCCAATTCCGGGGTCGGGGCTGCGCTCGGGAACGTCAGCCGAGCGCGTCACTTGGTCCTCGTTGCTCGGCGAACGTCAATCAAGGAACGTTTCCGAACGCGGCCCGGGGGACACGAGCGAGCGGGGGGACCCCGTTGGCGAGCTCACCTGGAAGACCTTCTTGAAGAAGGGACTGCTGGCCGAGAGTATCACCTTGTGCGCCGTCAGGCACTGTCCGTCACTCGCGAGAGTCACGTCCACCAGGCCCTCTTCCTCCCACAAGCTCTCGAAGCTGGTCGCGATATTGCTGAGAAAACTGTTCCACTTTAGACATATTTGACTTGACATGTCGCGCGGCCGAACGGACGGGGCAAGGTTCGTGTCGTCGGGGACGCTGTCGGGCACCGTGCGATGGTGTCTCCGCGGAGCCTCTTCACCTCACGCGACGACGGGGACGGCGAGCGCGACAGTGGGACCGCCGCAGTCGTGCCAGGCACGCACAAACATCGCCGGGGAGTCGGGTGAGCGCCGCGAGCGGCATGGCCGCTCTCCGCCGGCGATTGGTCCGCGCGCGAGAGCGCGCCAAATTCAAACGTCGCGGCGCGCCTTGTCGTAACGGAATGAGTAATTACGCGCGATAGCTCGACCGGTGGACTACCGTGCTCGAGACGATTCTTGCCGGCGAACATATCGCCGCGATACGTCCGGCCACGCGGAGACAATTTTCTCTCAAAATTTATCCTGAAAATCGTGCAATCGTGAGACAATGTGACATTTCGAAGAATTGTATGAGACTTTTGAAATTGTACCATACAGTTTACTAGTAAAATGTTTCTTTTAAATTTTCGTTTCTTCGAAGAATTGTACGAGTCTTTTGAAATTTTACAATACATTTTACTAGTAAAATGTTTCTTTTAAATTTTCGTTTCTTCGAAGAATTGTACGAGTCTTTTGAAATTTTACAATACATTTTACTAGTAAAATGTTTCTTTTAAATTTTCGTTTCTTCGAAAAATTTTATGGGTTTTTGAAATTTTGTCACACATTTTACTAGTAGAATGTTTCTTTTAAATTTTCTTTTAAAATTTACCCTGAAAATTATGTAATCGTGGGACACCATGGCATTTCGAAGAAGTTTATGAGATTTTTTAAGCTTAAAGTTAAGCTTGGTGAAACCGGGTCTAAAGTCCGTTTCTACCAACGCAGTTCAATAGCGAATTCGAGCGCTTGCACTAGTTTAGTCTTTTTAATTTAAATTAGTTTAAATTAAATATAAAAATTGACTATAAACCGGCCTGAGTGTGCATTCAGTGCGCGCCAGTGCGAGCAACCGAATTCGCTATTACTTTAATCCCGGTTCAACTTGCTCGATATCTTTTTCTAGTTTTACAAAGTGGACAAAGATAAGAAGTAATTTAAACCGAGATCAAAGCTAATCCGCATTGGTAGAAACGGGCATAACTGTTAACCAGAATTGTTAACCAGCCAAGTTAACGGTCGGTTAGAATTAGCAGATATTGAAAATGGTGGCCCTTGATCGCGCACGAGACGTTATTTCTCGTACAAGAAAGCAGCAACGAGCAGCGTTGGATCGAAAGGCAAAGCCGTTTCGCGGCACGGTAGACTCGCATTACGGCGAAGCCGAGTGTGCATGCGTGCATGTGCCTTACGTGCGTGCTCGCGTGCGTACATTCGACTGTTGTACGGCCGGCAATTCCCGCGTACGTGGGCCCGCGTGCGTGCCACGGCGTGCGTGCGTGCATGCGTGCCTGCGTGCGTGCGTACGTGCGTGCGTGCGTGCGTGCCCGCCCGCCTCGCGTGCATGCATGCTTGCGTGCGTTCGCGTGTCTATAACAGAGTTTCATGATCGTTAAGGCTCCACCGGGTTCCTACCCCTGCCTGTTTCGCGACCGAGCCTGGCGCACGAAAATACGGAGCGAGAAACTAGCAGCCTTCCGACGCGTTTGTTTTCTCAACCAGACCCTAGTAGCACAGTGCATTGGCCAAACATCGGCCCGATGTCGGTTATATTAGAAATGCACTGGCCGATATTGTCCAACGTAAAGCCAATATTGGTCATGAAATCAATGTAAATATTGCACAGTAGTAATTACATAATATTAGATTTATATTGGACGTGCACTGGCCAATATTTAGCAATGTAATAAGAATATTGGCCTAAAATTGATACAATATTGGACCAATATTATTGAATGGACATATTGACAGATAAGAGAAGGCGTCCATCTTATAATATTGGACCAATATTGGGAATACTAGATTTACATTATTTCCCAATGTCGCGCCAATACGTTGTGCTACTAGGGGAGAAATGACTAATTGCGTGCACCGAGTAACGTCTTTTATTACAATTTTTTTTGTAACGAACGCGACATGACACTGCCCGGATTTTGCGACACGGTCGCGGCGGCTTTGTAAGAACGAACGCACGGGAGAGCGAAAAGGGGGAAACAATTTGTACATTCGCTCTGTCGGTGCTTCGAGCGCTTCACAATTCTCTCGGTTGATTCTTGAACAAACGAAAGGTAGACACCGGTGGATAATGAACAAAGTGTAATTTTATCTTACACCGCTTTCCGCAGGCGAATTATAATTTCAAATAAATTCCCGCCCATCGCTCCCCGCTCAAATGTAGCCTTTATCGCGTGTTTACGATTTGCAATTAGGAAATATCGCTGAACAATTAATTCATACCGTACACGTTCTACATGCGCGCGATCTATCTTCATGCAAAAACGATCGCGGCAAGACGGAATGATGCCTTAAAGATTACCCCGCTCGGCATATTATCCCGATTTTTGCGGAATAATGTTGCATGAGAAGAAAATCTTCCGAATAAAAGTCACGCGATAGCCTCCAATTTTCGAGTATCACATTTAGAATCGTCGTTACTTCCTGTCACGGCAGAATCTCCGTGATTTTTTTTTATCGCAACGCAACTGTTTGAACAACAATGTATACCTGTAAGCCAACAAGCGACTCGATCTCATACGCGATACCTTGACGCGAATATCCATTCATCTCGGGCTTTGATAAATTTAACGAGAACTTAAGACTTAATTGTAATTGAAAGTGAAGTCTATTTTTATATTTGGAATAAGATAGTTTATGTATAAACTGCCAACTCCAAATATGTATATTGATCCAATCGATGCTCCTTGCATAAACGAGTGGCACAGTTAATGTGTAGGAAATTATATAATATATAGTGTTTATTTAATACTGTGTAAATTTTTAGAATATAATTTTTTTGTAGAGAGCAGAAAGATTAAATTATGCCTAAATGTGGCACAGTTAATGTGTAGGAAGTTATATAATATAGTGTTTATTTAATACTGTGTAAATTTTTAGAATATAATTTTTTTGTAGAGAGCAGAAAGATTAAATTATGCCTAAATGTATCAAGACATTATATAAACATCTTACAATAGATAACATCTAATAAAGCCGTACTATAGATAATAAAATTTTCTCTTGACTATACTTATATATTCATTACTCAACAATTATACTATGCATCCTGAATAAATCATGGCATCTAATAAAGATATAACATTTTCGCTTCACTATTTTTATATTCATCACTCGACAATTATACTATACATCCTGAATAAATCATGGCATCTAATGAAGTCGTACTATAAATGGTAAAGTTTTCTCGTCACTATTTTTATATTCATCGCTCAACAATTATACTAGCCTGAATATACCTATATCGATTCTACTTATCTGCTATTTGTTTTTTCAGCACAAATTTAATCAAAATTTTACATGTTATTTTAATTACATTTATTATTAATCATATCGAAATTATTCGCGCTTGAAAAAGAATTCTAAAGAATTTAGGCTCAATAAATTATAATATATTTTATAACCGCTTAAACGGCAAAGTTCTCGCATATTTTTATCATATAACATTAACGCTCAATAAAGTATGATAAAAATATAAAGCTATTATTTTCCATATTCTCCATTTGTATATGCATGTATACATGGACACACAAAGCCTACGTGTGTGTGAAATGTTAAGAGAAGTACCATGTTCTCTTACAACATTGCTCACGGTTGCATTCCGTTTATGTGTAACAATTCTTATATATCTAGGCCATTTTTTAAATATAATATACGTCACATCAATACAATTATTATTAATTTTAATTTAGTTATCAATACAATTATTATACACGTCACATAATTTATACTTAATGATCAGTATGTATTTAATTTATTTAATGATAAGAACAAGACTCGCCCATACAGCCCAGACAGCACAGAAAGTTGAAATAATATTACTGAAACGTTGCAATGTTGAATGTTGAAGTACAAATATCTTTTCTACGTTGACTCTAGGTTAATGTTTGTACATTATGGTATAAGGCATTGAACTATAACCACAGTATAACCAGTATGCCCACTCTCTGTCGGCACCTTTGATCTGGGCGTTCTCAATTTTCCGCCATGTTTTTGGTCGCCCCAACAGTGTATCAACGGCTAAAAGTGCCTGGGCCCTTTTCAGGATCGTATCCAGGAAAGGCGCGTACGAACTAGCGTACATTATTTATTGTAAATGGAAATGGCCTATGAAAAAAATGTTCTACTAAAAGTAATTAATGTAATTACTTGCTCCAACGTATAAAAGTATTAACGCGTTATTCGTCAACACTGCAAATTTTTCAATGTCACACCGACTTTGCACTAAACACGTACAAAAATCCTGTGATTGGTCATAACTAGAATATGTCGGATGCGCAGTACGGATCGGCGCGAACGTGAAACAAAAGAGCGAGTGGGCATACTGGTTAGTCCCAGTCTACAATAGAGATTTAAGCCCTAAGCCTTAAGAAATTGACTAATCACAGTCAAGTACGAGTAGAATACGCGATTGTGATTAGTCAATTTTTTAAGGCTTAGGGTTTAAATCTCTATTGTAGACTGGGACTTATACTGTGATTCGGTCACCTTAAACATTCTCCATGCTACCGGCACTACCGCCCTTCGGGGAAAGTACGCGGCTGCTGCGTCCGGCCAATCAGGGTGCTTTCACATGGAGCGTAAGGCTGGATTCACATGGAGCGTAACTTGCGTAAGCGTAACCTGCGTATCACCAATCACAGAACTATTTCAACGGAATTATTGAAACGGTTCTATCAGAATGAGGGTGGCGTCCCATGGAGCGGAATACGCGGAAGCGGAATCAGCGGATCGCCAATCGCAAGATTATTCTGATAGAGCTCTTTCAAAAATTCCGTCGAAACGGTCTTGTGATTGGCGATCCGCTGATTCCGCTTCCGCGTATTCCGCTCCATGGGACGTCGCCCTGACCCTGTGATTGGTGATACGCAGGTTACGCTACGCAAGTTACGCTCCATGTGAATCCAGCCTAAGTTGCGTAGCGTAACCTGCGTATCGCCAATCACAGGACTAGTTCAACGGAATTATTGAAACGGTTCTATCAGCATGATCCTGTGATTGGTGATACGCAGGTTACGCTACGCAATTTACGCTCCATGTGAAAGCATCCTCATCGGTCGCGTCGTCATCGGCAGCTCCCCCTCTGCGCATGCGCGCGCAACGTCTCGCTCGTTCCTCGCTCATTCGTACCACAGCGTCGCTAGAGTTCGGATGTGCTTGCGTAGCTCGTAACCCTTGGTCCACAATCTTGCTTCAAGTAAGCTGTAAGCCTTAAGCCGTAAGAAATTAACCAATCACAGGTGAGAGTGAGGGGAATAAAGGCCTGTGATTGGTTAGTTTCTTACGGCTTAAGGCTTACAGCTTACTTAAAGCAAGATTGACTACGTTTCCACCGAGGGTCAGAGTCGGATTGGGGTTTGGTGTTTCGGTATTTCCACCGCAAAAGTGCTCACCCCAACCCGATTCTGACCCGACTCTAGCCCGACCCTGACCCTCGGTGGAAACGTGGTCATTGTGGACCATGGGTTAAGAGTGAGGGGCAAAGAGAATCGTTAGGCGAAGTTAGAGGTTAGGAGTAGGGTTGTGCGAATAGATAGAGATAGTAGCTAGGTGTTTCGCGGTTTTCGCTTAGGTCTCGCGTTTAGCTTCGTGGATCCCTTAGGTTCCGTGGACTCGAGCAAGATGCCGAAAAGATCAGGCAACAATAGATGGGGCGGCCGCGGTAACAACCGAGGAAAAGGGTATTTTGGTGAGTGCTCTCGGCCGCTTCACGGCTCGCTACGCGCGATTCGGGCTCGCGGTTTTCTCCCGCGGGAGCGTGAAATGATATCCCGCCCGCGTTTATCCGTTCGGTTCATTTTGCGTACGCGCTGCAACGGTCCGTTGGTGTTGCATACGAGAAGACAAGATGAACGCTCTGCTCTGTGCGGAGTATGCAACTGCGCAATTTTTTTCCCCGCTTTGATACGCGCGTCTCTGCAGCGCGGATGATCAAGTCGGTCGCGCGATACGGAGGAAATTAACTGCGCGGGAGAAAAAGTGGCAAATCAATTTGTTAACGAATAAAGGTCGATTCAGACTATACGACACGGACCGTCACGTTCCGGCAACGACACGGACCGGCACCGACCTGCATGTTCCATCAATGTCTGCCGATCCGTGTCGTTGCCGGAACGTGACGGTCCGTATAGTCTGAATCGACCTTATCTTATCTCGAGCGAGCGAGCGAGAGAGTTTTGTAACGAACTGCGTCTTTCGCGAACGCGATGTTAACGGGATTGTGACACCGCACCTTCTGTCGGTGTAGAAAGTTGTAAAAATCGCCTCCGATCTTTTTTCGAAAGTGGCTTTGCGAAATAACTCGAAATTTTTGCAGTTGACAATTTGCTTTTAGGTCAAGATGATCGTACGATGGTACGAAATGTGGGAAGGGATGGTGGACCTCACGTCGACGAGGACATTCCAATGGCGGGTAGTTCCAACAATAATACTAGACAGGTGATAATAAATCAGAGGGATAGGGGTAGGGGTGATAGGCATACGGTCTCTCGCGGTAGGAACTGTCCGATGCCGAATAGGAATTTCAAAGGAGGTCAAGCTGGTGTGAGGCCACGGATGTTTCCGCTTGTTCAATCCAATTGGTATAAAATAATTGTAAGTACATATATTATATGCAAATAATTATGTTATGTCAATGATATGTATATTACAGCTTGGACTAAATTTTTACTTGTGTCTTACAGATACCATTTGGTAATAAGTATGAGAAGGACTGTGTTATTAATTCGTTTCTGAACTGTATGGCACCTGAAGTATTTATTCCCATAATGGTAACTATTTATTTTTATCTTGCAGGAAAAGTTCATATTTTTTATTTAGTATAATGTATTAATGTAATTTGAATGACAGTCTGCATGTATAAATAAAGCGACAATAAAAATAAAAATCACCTCGAAACCATAAATCCTTACTGCTAAATTGTTTACAGTACAAGGTAATGAGAAGTGAAGCCAGTTTCTATATTGACGATCATAAGACGGCGAACGCATTGTTGCGTTGCAATCGCAAGGTTCTGATGAATGATGGATTCCAGTTACGAGTGAAGGCAAAGCCCGTATTTCCAATTTGCAAAATTGATGAAAAGTTGAAAGAACGATTGAAGCACGCCATGGTTAAGAGATATGTACAAGAGAAAAATGCTCTAGACTTGTCCAAGTTTCATGTTGATTCCGGTACGAAGAAATTTCTGACTTTTATTCCCTATAAATATATTAAAGATATTAATAAGATTTGTAAGTTCAAATTCAACTACATGTAATTTTTCGCCTTACAGATCTTTACTCGGATTACTTTTGTGCGTTGTGCCACCCTATTATGTTGATGACTGTGTTAGATATTGTTGGGGAACACATTCCGAATCTAGAAGCATTGAACTTAGAAGGCAACAAGTTACAGAATCTCGAGAGACTTGGGGTGTTGAATAAGAAGTTCTCGAAATTGAAGATTCTTTATATTGGTGATAATAAGGTAAGTGACCGCGCGAATAAAAAATATATATATGACATGATCGTCAATATAATGTCCCGGTTTTAAAACCTGATTTATTGCATATTTTAGATCAAAGATATTCACCAATTAAATGGTATTAAGGAATTAAAATTGGAAGAATTAAAATTATCGGGAAACCCTGTATGCAACAGGTATAAGTTTCGCCACAGTGATTACACAAGTGACGTTCGAAAGAGATTCCCCAGGTTGCTACGATTGGATGGCATAGAATTACCGCGTCCAATTATTTTTGATGTTATCGACATAACTGCCAGGATACCTCCATCGCAAAGAATGTTTGTTTCGGATCCTAAAATTCAAGAGATAGCGAGCCAGTTTTTGCAACAATACTTCACGATATTTGATAGCGATAATCGTCAACCTTTACTCGATGCATACGCCGAAAATGCATGCTTAAGCCTGACGATAAGCAATTTCCCCAAGTTTAATAGGTATTACACAGAGAATAGAAACATATTTAGAACAATTGATTCAAATAGAAGACATAAGTTATTGAAACAGGGTAGATTGCCTGTAGTGTCGTTTATATCGGAAATGCCAAAGACAAGGCATTTATTGAATACCTTTACCACGGACATCACTCTTGTAACAGTAAGTAATCCTATTATACTGTTGTGTATTACATTTTATTACTCATATGTGAGATAAAGACAAACTTATAATTTATTTTTAATTAATTGAAAACAAATAAGTCAATTAGTTTTTATGTATTTACAGCAAGCAATGATGTTCATTACTATAACGGGTTACTTTCAAGAACTTGATAAAGACGAGCCCATTCGTTACTTCAACCGCACCTTCATAATTAGTCCGGAAGGTGAGGGATACTGCAGTATTCGAAATGAACAGTTGCACATTAGTCAGCCGTCTGAGGCGCAATTGAAGCAACTGCATCAGCAACTGAATCAGCTCAGAAGTCAACCGCAACCGCGGACGGTGTCGTTGGAAACTTCAGAAGTAGCGAAACCAATAACAATAGAACTTAGCGACGAGATAAAACAGCAAATGACGGTGACGTTAAGTCACCAGACAAGTATGAATATGGAATGGAGCTTAAAGTGCTTACAAGAGACTCAGTGGAATTATGATAATGCACTCTCTGCTTTTCACGAGTTCTTTATACGTGGGCAGATACCGTCAGAAGCGTTTACGAAGTAAACGCCATATATTGAGTAAGAAAACTTGCCATTGTGATAATAGCGTAAGAAAAATCAGAGTGCAGGAGCTTCTTGTATAACTGCGATCTCCATTCCATTCCGTCGTATACTTTTTTTTATAAGTATACTTATTTTGTATCTTGTATCAAAACTTGAGTAGAAAGCATTTGGTTATTTGTTACTTTCGATTTATGTATTTCTGGCAACAAAAGATAATTATTAATTTTTTTTTAGGAAAGGGTAAATGCTAGAAAAAGCAATAGATTAGGTATATTAATAGAGTTCCTTTAAAAAACTGTTTCAAATATATCTACAATCCGTCTTGTTTAAACATTTAAATTTTGTTTAAACATCTGAATCTTGTTTAAACATTTAAATTTGCACACAATACATCCACATGAAAATTGTTAAAAGTCATCATTTCTATCTCATTACAATCTTGTTTAAGAAAAGTCATAACTATGTTTATATTCTGATTTTTAACCAATTTCATACGTATACAGATATATTATTGTTTGACAGTACTAGTGAAAACAGTAACTTTTCCAACAATTATTTGTAAACCATAGTTTTTTTCTGAAATTATGAAAATGTTAATTTAAAAATATTATAACGTACATATGTTAATTAAGTACACATTTTTGGACAAAGCAGAAGTGGTGCTCCAACAAGAATCACAGCTATTTTGTGACAACAAAACAAAACGAGCTGTAAAAACATATGTATCTAAAGTTTTAATGGAGGGCTTCAAGTTTTTATAAGAATAATTATAGATATCTCTGATGTGATCTTCAACTGGAAGCTTTCCATTAAAACCTTACATACATATGCTTTTACAGATTGTTTTGTTCATTGTTACAAAAAAATTGCGATTTCTGCTAGAACACCACTCTGCATATTTAGGTATTTTTGGGTAATATGTATAATGAAATCACTGATCATTATGTATAGGATTTGATGAACTGAATATTCCCAAAAATAATTTTTATACTTTTTCAAGCAGTTATTTGGTAATACTAGTGATCATTTGGGTTACTGTTCATTGATGTTGTTACCGTGATTGCAATTGAGATTTGTTAGATTTGACTTTCTTCCAAGAGAGAGAGAGAGAGAGAGAGAGAGAGAGACATTTAAAAGATATTGATACTTCTTATTTTTTTAAATTGAAAAGAAATTAAGAAACTTTTATATTATATAGGCGAGTTGGAGTCTATATATTATGCACATATATTTTTTGTACACAAAAGTAAAAAGTATCTATCTTTTTCTCTAATTAAAAAGATTTCCGTTTGTATCTATAACAAACAACATAATATTCTCCTAATTGTATCTAACATCATTGTGAACAATTAATTTAAGAAATTTTACATCTAAAAGATTAAGTAAAAAAAAACGTTCTTTTTGCATATCTAATATTTAATTTTTCTAATACAGATAGGATTCGTTTTATGATTTATTTTACAAATGTTTCTCTTACATTAGTATTATATAATAACTTTGATCAAAATTATATAAAAACAAGTATAAGTAAACAAAGCAAGTGTTTAAATGTTAAAAATAACTCATTATTGAAAAAAACAAGAGTACATACTTTGGAGAATTTTGCTAAAACTTAACTTCGTTTTGCTGTAATTCTATCGTAAAACTGATCCTACCTGGTTAAATTTAGGTTTTTGCACTATCAAAGGGGTATTTGCTCAAAAATACTTGAAAAATGGGCAATTTTTGAACTTTTTTTAAATTTTTTTATACAAAACGCGATATACATGGTAAGAAATGATAAATAGTAACAAATACATATACAGAATAATAAGTTTTTCTATTTTTATTTATAAGAAAAAATTTCAAGAATTGCCTATTTTACTTTTGAGCAAGTATCTTATTAATTGCATAATTTATCACGCAGGATAGATAAAAAATTCAGATCTCTATATACAAGTTTAAATGTAAAAGAAGTTTCGAGTATTTATAATATAGGTACCTATGTCAAACGATATTTAAAGACTAGTGCAATTTGATAAAGTACAAATTTCTCAAAATTGTCGTTTAATATGTACGTCGATACAAACGCAATTGAATAGCTTTTTTAAAATTGTAAATAGTGTTATATGATATAGGTTTATGCGTCCGCGTAAGTCGCTAGGCATGTAGGTGAAAAAGAGTTCGCTTACATTATGTGAGTATAAATTATTCGATTGAAGAATAGTATTTATGACGGGTTTAATTTTCTTTTTGCAATATATGTAGCGTTACGTATATGCGAAATACAACTTTCAGTTCTTATCTTATTGAGGATGTGGATTGCATTCCACATACATACGAAAATACATATGCACACATCCAACGAACAGCCAGAAACGTCGCGTACCGGGATGATGTTCTAAAATTTTCAACTGGAGAACAATGTCCTGGTGTTTCTAAATGGGATTCTTAACTCGAAGTCCAACTACTCGTTGTGACTCGTGTTAGAAAACTAATCCCAAATATCATCTATAGTCAGGCAATATCATGGCATGGTGGAAGGACGTAGACTTCGTTCCTAGAACGAGGTGAATAAGTCTGTTGCGAGGGTGAACAACAGTTGATTAAGCACATTGTCGCCTACATCCCTACGATATCGTATGGGGGTAGGTGCGTAGCTTACATCGTCACAGTGGGAATAGCTGCAAGGAATTGTCTGCATTCCCCTGGAAACTGCAAGCACTCAAGTGCGCTTAAAAGTCAGAAGTGATCTATGATGTGCGGATGTGTTGTCAAATATATTTCAACGGTATCTCACCCACCTGTTAACAACAACTCGCGTAGTAGCATTGATTATTTCAATATCGTAGGTGCCTTAAATAATAAGGCAAAAAGAAATCATTTATACTCACATACTCGTATGCGATAGTATTAATTTAAAAAAGAATGTATGCATGTATTTTGACTGGATAAAGACACGCGAAATATTACAGAGATTATTGTATACATTTATTATAAACAGAATTTATAAATCTCACATGTGACCGAGAAACATTTTCTTCTTTACGTAGATATGTACAAAGACGATTAGATACTTTTATTTTGTAAAACGCGTACAAGTGGATAAGATCTTCTACTGTTATTAATGTTACACAACCAAAAAACACTCTTGTCTCGCATAAGAAGGAAAAAGAGAGGGATTATACATAAAATTGTACGTAATGTAAATACCTCTATTAATAAGTGTCGTCGATATAATTAAGAAGTGCTTGTACAATACTTAACTGTGATAGTATGAATAAAGAAATAATATTTTATACATAAATTGTTTCTTATTTATATAAACCTACATTATATAAGAGAGTATGCCAATTTACGTGAAAATATAAAAACTATGCATGATACCCAAGTATCGTTATTTTGAACACATCTTATCTTAAAATGTGTATACAAATGGAAGGTCTGCATTTCGAGCATATGCTTTAAAAAACACTAAATCGGCCCTTTTCAGGGCCACAAATTTTTAGAACGTTGGAACAATAATTTCGGTTCACAATTATTCATGTCTTATCTTATAGTTAATTACCGTCTACCCGGGCATGCGCCGGGCGCACACGGACACGGCTGCTCGCTTGTGTGCGTTATCCCCTCTCCGACCACATCGTGCTGCAAAAGAGTAGCGGAATTTGCATCACTGAGTGTGTGGTACAGCGTTCGCTAACAAATATTTTGTACCGTCATGTGTTCGGTCAAATTTCATAATTTAGTTTACACGGTATATATTTTAGATTTCCAGAAGAACACGCTTGAAGCTTGTCGCGTGCAATTGCAGGTTATCTCGGAAGTTACATCGTCAGAAAGTTCCCATCTTCGTTATTTAGTCGATTTCTCGTCGTTTTATCAATTATTTGTACTGTAATTCATCATGTCAATTAACGTGACATGTTCGGGAAGCGCGTAAAAGTAATAGAGACACTTGGACATTCTGGCACGCGTGATAGGATTAGAGTTCGGTAGCTCGCCGTTGTATGAAATGTAACGAACGCGAATCTTTTGAAGTATTTCTTTCGACAATTAACGTTTCTATCTTCCATCCAGTACTTTCGATGATTTCATTGTAGTTTTACTGAGGAAGACCCGAAGTAGAGTCGAAACGTTTATATTAATGAGAAATTTGGTTTCTATTTTGTGAGAACTGAGTTCGCTTCATTTTGTGGCTCACATTGTGGCACGCTCTCCTTTCTATATGATTTCTTATTTTATTTTCATTTTCATTTATGTTGAAATTATGTTTGCAGATTATTAACAGACCAGATGGCGCCTAAAAACCCTAATTATATTGTGTGGATCGACCTGGAGGTATTGAAATATTTGAAAGGTGTTGCGTGACACCTACACGTAATGATTATAAGGAGGAGTGACCAAAACTTGTAGCGAATCCGACGCTTGCGCTAGTACGCACTGAGTGCACAGCAAGACTTGTTCAGAATCCACTCTAAAACGTCGTCTACAGTGCAAGCCTGGCATAAGGAGTAAGAGAGAACCATAACTTTTAGCTTTTGGTGTGAGGGAGCTGAAATACAGGCATAATTTGTAACCTATTTGTAACACTGGCCGATGGCGTTCTGATTTACCGAGAGTGAATGATTTATTTGTTTCTACTCCTTACTCCAAGCTCACTCCATGCCTCGTGGATGACACATTATATTTATGGTCGTCTCAAGTACACGTCCAAAAACTATTTAGCCAAGAAAATTATCTGTACGAGTGCTATGCAGATTCTTTTACTGGCTAAAAAGTATTTCGAAAAGTGTTTAAGACAATCCTTAGCGTGCACTCGGTGCGCACTAGTGCAAGCTGTCGCATTTGCTGTTAGAAATGTAAATTAATTGCTTATTGTATTTCTGCAGATGACTGGACTTGAAATAGATAAACATCATATACTGGAAATTGCCTGTGTCGTAACGGATAAGAAATTAAATACCGTTAGCGAGGAACTGAATATTGTGATACACCAGCCAGACGCAGTATTAGAAAATATGAATGACTGGTGTAAGGTAAATCACACGAAGGTAAGCTTAACTTAACTTGCACGAATGGTAGAGATGTTCTCGAGCGTTTTGTTGTTTACAGATTTGAAGTCTTATAACTTAATTATTGCATGTTTCAGTCGGGACTAGTTGAGAGCTCTCGCTCGAGCACAGTATCGTTGGAAGAAGCTGAGAAGACGGTACTCGACCTTTTAAAGAAACACATTCAGCAAGGTTCATGTCCGCTGGCTGGGAGTTCGGTGTATATGGATCGTCTCTTTCTATACAAATATATGCCATTAGTTAACAATTACTTGCACTACAGGATTATCGATGTTAGTACAGTCAAGGAAATTGCTAGGTAATTAATCAGTTTCTTCTACTTTTATATAAGCAAACGGACGCTGACAATGTAAACGGTTAATAAGATTCTGTTCTGCAATTTATATTTGAAAGTGATTTTAATGGAACAATGCGATAATGTAAGTAAATCTTTATAATTTTTTGTAGAAGGTGGAATCCAAGTGTATATAATTCGGTACCAAAAAAGAAACTGCAACATAGGGCTCTGGATGACATAAAGGAAAGCATTAATGAACTGAGGCATTACAAAAAACACTTCTTTAAATTGCTATAATTTGCATGTGTTCATTAAAAATTTATTCAAGTGTTCAATTTTTTATATTAATGTATGTAAACTAATACTTTATGTAATATTAATACTTTTATATTAAAAAAAATTTTCGAGTCCAACCACCACAGTGCTCACACGTATACATATATTTTATAACTCGACTCTGTCTTATACATATATTTTACAACTCGACTCTGTCTTATTCGACGACGATAATAGACTCTGTATCACTTGAAAAGGATAAAAATGGGGTCGAAACGTTTTGTAATAAATCGATTAAATAATTAGCCAGTTGGGTTGACTATTAGTTTTTCGTCTCATTTTTATATTAAAAAAAATTTTATATATGCGGAACAGCGTCCAGGATGTGGGAAAGCCTAATAAAATTGAATTATGACGTAAATTGCAAATGAATATTTAACGTTAATTATCTTTCATTAACATGAATTTTATTTCCGCGCCGTTCGCAAAGATCTTGTACCTTCATGTCCACTTTCACCAATGTGGATTAACTTTGACCTCAGTTTAATTAACTTACATTCGATCTTTTTGTGGTACTAAGAATTAAAAATTGAAGCAATTTAAATCGAGATTATTCAAATTAACCTGCATAAAGCCCGTATCAAACTACGGATTGAGATTGAAATTTGGCCAATTAGAGTAAAAGTTAATAAAATTTACTGTGATTGTGCAAATTTCAATCTATAAGTCCCAGTCTACAATAGAGATTTAAGCCCTAAGCCTTAAGAAATTGACTAATCACAGTCGCGCATTCTACTCATACTTGACCGTGATTGGCCAATTTCTTAAAGCTTAGGGCTTAAATCATCTATTGTAGACTGGGACTTAAGAAATTGGCCAATCACGGTCAAGTATGAGAAGAATGCGCGACTGTGATTAGTCAATTTCTTAAGGCTTAGGGCTTAAATCTCTATTGTAGACTGGGACT